TAAATCCACATCTTTCTTGAAAAGTCATCTATGAATGTGATAAAGTACCTTGTTCCTCCAATTGATGCTATCTTCATTGGTCCACAAACATCAGAGTGCACAATCTCCAATAATTTTGTTGCACGTATTGCAATTCCACTTGAAAATGAAGCTATTTGTTGTTTGCCTTGTATACATCCTTTACAAGCAAGTGTCATGGCATTGTGGCTGAATTAACTAAGATTTCAATCACTTACCATGGATTGGAGCTCCTTCATGCATTTGACATTCAAATGACCAAGTCGTTGATGCCAAATTCCAAACTTGACTTGATCTTGTGGAAAATTACCAAATGCCGCCACTTCAACTCCATTCACCTTCTTGCAATTGATGAAGTGGAGATTTCCATCTCTAAGGTCTTTGGCAACATTTCGGCCATTCAATGTCTTGACAAAATATCCATTCATATCAAATTGAATCTTATAACCATGTCATACAACTTTGCTCACCAAAAAGAGGTTCTTCTTCATTTTTGAAACATGTAAAACTTCCTTCAATGTGATCCTCTTGATTTGGTCCTTCACAATTATCTCCACCACAATGGAGCTAATTCCAATGGCTTGCACCATGCCGTTGTCTTCCAATCACATTTTTGTTGCTGGAATTTCTTCATAAGTATTAAATGAACACTAGTATGGTGTCATGTACTTAGTAGCACCTGAATCTATAATCCACTTTGAAATAACAGCCATGGAGGCTCCTTCCCTTGCCATGAAAGCATACTCATCTCTACCAAAACTATCACTAGCATTATTTGCATTCTCTCTATTTCCTTTCTTGGCCTTGTAGCAATTTTTAGCAAAATGACCTAGTTTTCTACAAATATAGCAATTTCTCATATTTCTTTGTGAATTATCACGTTGGTGAGAATAGCTACCTTTGCCTTGTCTTGAAAATAGAGCCGAATCATCACTTGCAAGCTCATTTTCTTTGCTCTTGATCATTTCATAGGCAAGTCTTGATGTGACATAGTTCATGGTAAGCTCCTTCATGTTGATGGACTCCAATGCCACAATGAGAGAGTTGTAGGATTCGGGAAGGCTCATGAGCAATGTCAACACAATGTCCTTATCATCAACTGATTTGTCAACAACTTCTAGTTGGTTAGCAAGTACTTTTACCTTATTAACATGAGCCATGAGGTCATCTCCTTCTTCCATCTTTACTGCCAAGAACTTTCTCTTTGTCCAAAGGATGTTGGCAAGGTTTCTACTCTCATAGACGTTGCAAAGAGTCTTCCATGCTTCCGCTTGTCAGTTGCAAGCTATAATATGTGAAAAGTTTGCATCATCAAGGTTTATTGCAATCATCCCAAAAGCCTTCCTTTCACGACGTTTGTACTTCTTCTTCACCTTGATATCAACATTGTCACTTGGAGGGTCTTCACTTTCATCAACAATGTCCCAAAGGTCCAATGAAGCCAACAAAAGCTCCATTTTTTTCTTCCAATGGTAAAAGTTATCACTTCTAAACTTTTCAATCACTTTCAAGCTCTTACCTTCACTTGAAGCCATGTCTAGGGAAGGAATGTATGAAAGAAAATCAAGAAAAGAAAAGATAGAACTCTCAAAATCAACAAGAAGGTGTTGTTGCCTTAGAAACCCAAAATGCCCTCTTTGTAATTATACAAGTGATTTCCCTCTTGTACCACTCTCAATTTTACATATAAGACTTTTCACAAGTCTTATAATCTATCTAAACCTCTTTCATAAGCTTTGCCACTCTTCAATCACCCCTCTAACCACACAAAACACTTCTTATAATAATAGGAGAATCTCTTATGAAGTTAAGTATATGAAAGCACAAAGTTAGAGCACCAATTATGAAACTCAGCAAAGAATTATCATACTCAAGTTCTAAAACATCATTAAATGAAGTCTAACAACAACCAAGACTATCAATGCACTTTACAACAAGTAAGAGCAAAAACTACATCAGCAATTAGATGTATAAAAAGGGTTAGAAGAGAGCAAACTCAAACTTCAGCAACAACCATAAGATCTATTCCTCACAATAAAAAAAGACTTCAAAGTACTTCAAAACTCATAAGTAAAGGTGAATAGGCCCATAACTTATTGAAGAAACAAGCACTTTGAAGATACAACACTTAGCATCAGCAAGGTTACACACAAAGAGAGTATGGAATAAGATGTCTCTCTCTTCAAATATCCATTACTTATAGGTAGTGGTTGCTGCCCTAAAAGACAACTTCCACTCTTTGACTTTTACACATGTAGCCCTAGGATCCTTTTGGCATTTCACGAGCCTCGAAGGTATCCTATGATACATATTAATGACTCATATTTAGTCTTTGGATATTCTCTTGTTATTACTTTATCCTTTTGACTTTGACTCTTAGTCCATGACTTCGTATTATATCCATTGGATGCCCTTACCATATACCAAGAGTCAAACCTTTGACCACTAGCAACATACCTAAGTTAATATCCTTTATAAGGTAACTTATTCTACTTTTACTTTAATAGATTTCACATGTAACAAAGTATAAAAGAATAAAAATTAATTAATTAATGAATTAATGGAGGATTTATTCATTGTAAACAAAAAAGTTGGTGAACTCATGAATTCATTCACAGTTCACATGTAACAAAGTATGAAATGAAAAATAAATAAATTAATGGAGCATTTGCTTATTGTAAATAGAAAAGTTCATGAACTAATGAGTTCATTTATAATTTATATTTGACCTTGTTCACATATAATAAAGTATAGAATTTTAAAAATTTTAAAATTAAAATTAAAATTAATAGGATATTTGATCATTATAAACTAAAAAGTTGATAAACTGATGAATTCATTCTTAGTTTACATGTAATGAAGTATGAGATGAATTTTGAACAAATATTGTGAATAAAAATATATGAATCGTGAACAAAAATTATATACTTAATTATTCAATTTTAGTTTAAAAAACTATATGCACAATATTTTGGCTTTGCAGTATATCAATGAACTAGATTAGATGACCAAATTTGGCTGTGCAATACATAAATGAATATTACATGTTTATTAAGGATTCTTACATTTGAACTAGGTTAGGTGACCAAACCTAGTCATTTTAGTAAAAATTCATATTAATCTATTAATTTCTTATATATATTTATATTATATGTATATATATATATATATATATATACATACAATATAAATACCATACAAAGAAATAAATTAAAAATAAATAATCAAATAATTAATATCTGGTAATTTTTTACAATAAATAGATATTTTTTTATATATTTTTTTACTTCTATAACTTTTAAATTTTGACTTTATTATATTTATAAAAAAAAGAATTTACTAAGATTATAATATTAGCATGATTTTAATAGATATATTAATAATATTTAAATTATTATATATTATAAAAATATGGAATAAATTCTTAACTATGAATAAAATAAAATAAAAATTGCTATGATCTTAAAGCAATAATGAAAATTTGAATTCATCATATTAGAATTTTAAAAATAATCTACATAATCTTTAGTGAATAAATAAAATATCATAACCATTTAAATTAATTTGTAATAAAATAAACTTTGTACAAGATTTAATATTGTGTATTTATCTGAAGTTTAATTTGAGATTATGGCTTTAGAATTACTTTTTTTAGAAATCTATTATTCCAAACTTATTATAATATACTATCATTTTTATAATTTAAATAATATTTTGTAGGTTACACAAACTACATCACCTTAAATAATTAAAATTAAGATTTTCTTCCTTTAATACATTCTATCATTTTGGTATCTTATTGCCTAAGGTATATTTTGATTTCCAAATACATCCTATCAAGCCTAGGTCAAACTTGCCTAGTCAATTCTATATATTTCAAGGATTTGGGGATCATTGAGTGTCTCTAAAGGGATTCAATGGGGGCCCAATGCTATATATTTAACTGTCTTCAATGTACTTAAACTAAGAATGTTGTAATCTTATGTTAGAGTATGTTATTCTACACGACATGGCATAAAAATTTAAACTTTCACAACATAAAAAAAATATTTTTACAACGATGGCCATTACAATATAAACAAAATATAAAAAAAATATAAACAAACATTAAGAGGTTTAAATGACGAACATGAGATTCATGAAAGCACAACAGTCAGAGAATTGCCATGTATTTCACAAATACCTTTTAGATTTCATTTCCACTTTTACCAGCTGCAAATCAACCCTCACACAGTACGAAAAAAAACAATACTGCATTCATGTGCTCTTCAAAGCTTGCACCAGATTGGGGTTTGGTTGATTCTACCAATGTTGTTTTATCACTTAAAAAACTTGCAACACAATCTGACTGCGGAGCTGCGCCGCGATGAAATCTCAGTCATGCGAGCTCTAACCAACACCGTGGACTGCATCCGATAGCACGGGAATCGAAAACAGTGCCATGGTTCGTATCACCGTAACCAAATACATTGCAACAATTCGATGCATTCTAGACATGGATTGAAGGCAAGTGAAACATTGCAGGCATTGATGCCCTACGCAGGTGAATGATTTGGCAAAAACACATGGCACTCACTTTGAGACCGTCGAGGAGAATCCGCGATCCGGACCGTTTTGATCGATGCGCAATGTTGAGGTGCCCATAGCGAGAGCTGCAGCGCAATGCAATTCTCAACAGGAGGGCTCAATTTCGAAAAAGAGTGAGAGGAAGAGAGCGACGACATGCCATTGCTGGCTGCCGCGGATATCGACTCCGCAGGCGCGCTCAGAGAGGTCACACGGAGCCAGCTGCATTCGCACTTCAAGCGAAGCATTGGTTGCGGAGCTTGTTCGCTAATTCTAGTTATCGTTGGCCAGGAGCAAACACGGAGCCATTCCAAAACCTAAACCGCCTGGTTTGCCGCTAGGTTTCCCGCGCGGTTGCAAGCAATGCGAGAGCCCGACCCGGCCCGGTTTGGAATCGGGCTGTGAGCTAACTCTGTGAGCTGGTACTGGTGGTGTGGCGAATCCACAACGAAGGCCGAAGAATAGGAATCGAGAATACAGGCTCTCACGTCTATCGCATTTTGCAGTCCATCGCGCAATCCCTTAGATTCTGCCAGGCTGGGTTTTGTTGTTGCTGCGCAAATTCTCCTTCTAATCTTGTAGTGGCGGTTTCGTATTCAGTTACGTGGTGTTTGGAATTCTAGATATTGGGGCTGCGTCCAAAGTGGGTTGGGGCTTTGCAGGTTTGATTGGAGAAGGGACAAGCAATCGGCTCTGGCGCACCTCGGTCGTGTTTGCAGATCCATGGGGAGTCGTCGTCGCCGTCGTCTCTTGCGTTGGATAGATGGGGTGGAATTGTCTGCGGGGTGCTGCCTTTGGATTGCTGCGTGATTGATGGAGTGGCGCACGTATTGCTATCGTTTGAATTTTAGCGGTTGATTCAATGTCGTAGGTGCGTTCGATGCTGCGCGCGTTTGTTGCTTCCTTGGGTTTGGCTCCATGCCCTTATCCACGAATTTGAGATTATTTTGGAAGCTGATGCTGGTACGGGTTTTTGTGAGTTCAAGTTTCGTGCTTGGGATGCGGATTGTTTTTTTATTGGAAGAGCTGGGGAGTTGAGGAAGAATTTATACCCGATAGTCTGTGAGTAATACTTTTCTGATTATCGAGTTCACTCAATATATATATATATATATATAGATAAGCCTCGGCGTGGATTATGTGAACATTCGCGGAAGTGGTTTAGGGCCAGCTTGCTTCTATTAAGAGGGTGTCAGCTTGGAATAGTTTTCTTGTTTTTGAAATTTAGGTCTACATGCCGGTTCTGGACTCAATTTGCAAGCACTTCAATACCGTACTTGTCCGATTGCGGACTGCAGGGTTATGGGAGGTAGTAATTGGCGTGGTATATGAGCTTAAATTCTGCTCAGCTCAACCCATTCCGATTCGAGTGCTTGAGAGTATGACTCTTCCACTATTGACGTAATTTGTTGAGCTGGATGCGGTATTTCACAAAGATTGGCAATCACGGTTTATAATTAGCCTGCTGCTCCTGCAACCTAGCATCTCCCGGCGTTTAATTCACTCAGGAAGCGCTGGGGGCAAATCAGTCGGGGAGCCGCCCCGCGGCGCAGCAGAAGCCCTGGAGTTTGTGGCTTTTGCAGCAGCGCGCGGATGATTACCCCCGAGTTCTTGGCATGGAGACTCCTCAGCTCCTCCTCCCTGCCGCTCGCCCTGCCCCACCGGTCACGGAGGGCTCGACATATCAACATCAGGACCCTCCGGCCCATCAAACACCCCATCCTCTGGAGGAACCGGAATATATATGCCGGTACACCGTCACCAAACACTCGTGGCGTGGGAGGTACAAACGCGTATTGTGCATCTCCCCCACCCAGGTTTTGACCCTCGACCCCGTTACTCTGAACACCACAAACGCGTATGACATTGCACATGATTTCGAAGGAGCGATGCCTGTGGCAGGCGGGCGGGAGGACCCTCTGCAGCAGCAGGCGCTCGAGTTCAGTATCAACGTGCGGAATGACGGTCGTGGCAAATTCAGGCCCATGCGATTCTCCTCTAGGTATCTTTGCCTTCTCGCGATGCTCCTGAGGCATTTCTTTTCCTGGACTGCTGCAAAATCATGGCAAGTGTTATACCTGTGCTAGTAGTCACAATCAGTAGGATGAAGCCGGAGCAATTGCACTTAATCTATTATACCGAGGTATTAGTAACGAGCCACATACGAATTCAGAACATAAAATGCGTGTATTCTTTGACGCGATTGCGGCAGTGGAACCTATCAATCAGGCTGCTGTGACTGGTGCTGAGTATTTCATGCCAACATTCTGAAATTGGATGGAATTGGATTCAGGTACCGAGCAGCAATTCTGACGGAATTGCACAAGCTAAAGTCTTATGTAGCTCCTGGAACGTCTCCTTTCTCTTCTGACACCGCAGACTTTCCTGTACTTCATTTGCGGCGGCGTGCATCGGATTGGAGTCCTTTCGTACGTTCCTTCATTTCCAAGCATTGGGTTATTATTATTATTATTATTATTATTCGTGGAATAGCTCGGGTTGCAATTTGAAAGCTTCATCCCTGTGTTGAAATGCATGCAATGCAGAATTAGTTGTCCTCCCGTGCTCATCAAGTTCTGGTTCTGTTAGGTCATGAGAATCACTCGCATTGGCATCGAAGTGCGGACGTCAAATGATAATCTTCATTGGTGTTTGGATTTTCGTGACATGGACTCTCCAGCCATTATACTGTTGTCAGATGCATATGGCAGGCGTGGCCATGAAGGTGGAGGGTTTGTGCTATGCCCATTGTTTGGCCGCAAGTGTAAAGCCTTCACTGCAGCTGTGGGGGTTTCCAATAATGTCATATTGACCACCCTGGTAACTTGTCATCTTACGTTTTTCCTACGTTGAAGTTCTTTCAAAGAGTGTTCGTTGCCATGTACTCTGGAACGTGATATTGTGTGTCTTCTCGTTCTTCCAGTTGAATACATTGAGGACGCCTCATCCAGACTTGGTAGGTTTTTCTGTAGATCGTTGTGTAGATCATTTGAGATTTGTGACCGAATAAGTGTATTTTTATTCATCATTTGACAGACAAGAATGGCCAAAACTTTTGTTGGGGTCTCGCTTATTGTCGATTCATCACATACAATGAGTGCTTTAGAATTTCAGAAACAAAGAGGTGAGCCTTTACCTTTGTTGTATTCTCAATTTTTTGTTTGCACTTTGTTGAATCTGCACTTCTACTATCTTCAATGTTTACAATTGGAATGCAAGATGTTTGTGTGTGCACTTTTATTTCATTTTGTGTGCTTTGAGACGATCTAACCATAAATCCATAACAGCGAAGACTGCAGTAGGCGCTGAAGAAACACCTGTTGGAGAGTGGTCAGTTACAAGAGTACGCACAGCCGCTCACGGTACTGCGCATTCTGGCACATTACACGTCCTGTATGGAATCAAAGGTTTGGGTGGACCAAGTGAATCTGTAGCAAGGCAGCTGGTTCTCACTAAAAGCTCTTTGGTTGAGAGACGGAAGAACAACTATGAGGTTAGCAATTATCATGTACCAATCCCAGAGTTTATCCCCTTCATTTTACAGTAACGTACATTATAAATTTACATACGACTTGTTCCTTTTTTTGGGCGTGTTATGCTTCATCAGTGGATTTGAAATAAGTTGTGCTTAGATCAACGACGTTTTAAATCTCTAGAGCGACAAATGAATGGTTGTCTCAGGCGGTAATTGTCCGACCTTTATCGGCGGTTGCTGCCCTTGTTCGGTTCGCAGAGGAACCTCAAATGTTCGCGGTCGACTTCAATGATGGTTGCCCTATGCATGTACGTTCATTTCTAGCAATCATTTTCTTGATGTTCCATGTATGCTTCATCACCACAGCAGAGTTTAATCTAAAAGTGTGATCTTTTTGTTTCACCCCTGAAGGGGTGGGAATGTATCTGCCTGTCTTTGGACCGACTTATATACGCTTGATTTTAGATTGTAAAAGAGCTCAATGCGTTGTCGATCTTGTTGTATGTGAAGGATCAGTATATTCATCATGTGTGTAGGTCTATTCAAGCACATCACGGGATAGTCTTTTAGCTGCAGTGCGGGATACCATACAAACTGAGGTGGGTCTGATTATAGTTTTTGAGAAATATCACCTTCATGTCTTTTGAAACAGCATGTGCATAGTATTTGTTTCTTTATCCCGACGATTTGTGTGTCATTATAAGTTATTATCATCTATGAGCTCGATACATGTACTTCAATAGTTGCTCCCTTTTTGATTGATTTCTTCTCATAACAATCGTAACTCATGCCTGATTTAGTTTCAACATTCTCGTTGTGCCAGGGTCAACGCCCAATCCCCCTGTTAGCAAGAATAACAATGCCAGGACATCGACTTGATCCTCCATGTGGGCGTGTTATGACTCCTTCACCTGTTACTGCAAGCGTCCCTCATCGTTTGTTTGCTGATATTGAAGGAGAGGCCCTTCATGTTAAGCACCTCACAGCAGCAGCCAAGGACGCAGTTGCTGAGGGCGGGTCTGTTCCGGGTTCCAAAGCCCGTCTTTGGAGGCGTGTTCAAGAATTTAATGCTTGCGTTCCTTACGAAGGTTTACAGCCGCATGTAGAAGTTACCGATGTTACTCTCATGACGTTATTGTCTATGTTACCGGGCCCATTAAACCTACCTCCTGATAGCCCTCCACCTCCACCGCCGTCTCCTAAAGCAGCTGGTACATTGGTGGGCTTAGTAGCCTGCTTACGTCGTTTGATGGGATCTTCATATGCAGCATCATTTGTGGCTTCGTTGCCGGTTGCTGCAAGCCGACTAATGGGCCTTCTTCAGTCAGGGTCAGAAGCTGTGGCTATGGAAGCTGCAGGGCTTGTCGCCTTGCTCATCGGAGGGGGTCCTGGCGAGAATACTTTGTCGGCCATGACAAGAGGGGATAAGCACGCGAGTGTTATTCTTGCAAAGTCAGCAATGCTTGGTAGCCAGTTCCACATTATGATTCTTGTACATCGCTTGAAACCAACGACTGTGTCTCCATTACTCTCCATGGTAATAGTTGAAGTTCTCGAGGCAATGCTATGTGAACCGCAAAGTGAGACAACAGACCACCCTACCTTTGTTGAGATGCTGAGGCAAGTGGCTGGTCTGAAACGTCGATTATTTGCTCTATTTGGGCACCCTGCGGAAGGAGTTCGTGAAACTATAGCTGTGATTATGAGAGCAATTGCAGAAGAAGATGCTGTTGCTGCCGAGTCAATGAGGGATGCCGCTTTGCGGGATGGAGCATTATTACGTCACCTTGTGCATGCATTCTTTTTACCAGCTGGTGAACGGAGAGAAGTAAGCCGACAGTTGGTTGCTCTGTGGGCAGATGCACATCAGCCCGCACTTGATCTGCTTTCAAGAGTACTTCCTCCTGGACTTGTAGCATACCTACAAACCAGACCTACGGATGAAGATGACTTTGATACTCAATGTATGGCATCGAGCACTTCCTCGGCGAAAAGAAAGCAGCAGAGGATACTGCAACGGCGTAAGGGAAAAGTGCCTCGGAAAAGCATCCCAAACACTTCATTAAATCCACTTAATCCGTTCTCAGCTCCCCCTCTTGACGTAAGGATTGTACAACCACAACAAAATTCGAGTCAAAATTCTCCAAGTTCTCAAGAACCAACCACCTTGTCTTCAGAAGAAAATGGCCATTTCGGTGTGAAAAGCTCACTTCCGTCTCCATCTGCAGCTGGCCCTTCACAAGCTTTACCTGCTTTGGCACAGTCCACAGCCACAAATCCATATACAAGTGGGGATCAGTATTTAGGAGGCTCGATTCTTGCTAACAGTGTTCCCAGTGTCGATTCTCAGCCGCCAGCCCCAGCACCTGCCCAGATAATAACAGAAAACGTGCCTGTTGGTTCTGGTTGCCTTCTTTCCAATTGGCCAGAGTTCTGGCGCGAATTTGGCTTTGATCACTCTCGTGCTGACCTGATTTGGAATGAACGGACTCGTCAAGAACTTTGGGAAGCTCTTCAAGCTGAAGTTCATCTTTTAGACGTAGAAAAAGAGCGAACCCTAGATGTAAGCGTGGTTGGAAGATTGTCAGTGGCAGGAGATGCTACCTTCATGGAAGAATCCATGAGCCAACTTTCCTGGAATTACGCAGAGTTTGCAGTTAGATATCCCAGCCTTTCAAAAGAGGTCTGTGTGGGACAATACTACCTTCGGCTTTTTCTTGAAAGTGGGAGTGGTGCTGAAGGCTTCCCTCTTCGTGATCCTGTAGCGTTTTTTGGGGCGTTGTATCATCGATTCCTGTGTGATGCTGATATTGGGCTTACAGTCGAGGGCTCCGCTACAGACGACCTTGGTGTTGACTGGTGTGACATGGCTGGTTTGGATGGTTTTGGAGGAGGTGGAGGAACTTCAGTTCGGGACTTGTGTGCAAGAGCGATGGCTATAGTTTATGAACAGCATCATCAAACGATTGGGCCCTTTGATGGGACTCCACACATAACTGTGTTACTTGACCGTACTAGTGACAGGACTTTACGACACCGATGTCTCCTTCTCTTAAAGGTGAGGCACATAGTTCTGATGGCTATTTATCCTTTGCTATATGATCCCGCATTGAACTAGTGTCATTTTATACCTCCCTTGTGGTGGAAGTCTAAGATCAATACATATTGTTGGTTCATGTAGGTAGATTCTTGATCAGCTATTACTAGAAATGCGTGTCTACGTTCTGTCATTCCTATCCAAGTACAAACGTAGATTTACGCAATATGTTTTAGCCTCTGTCGATGCCTCGGAGTAGTCTTTGTGTTTGTGTTGGTCTGTTTAGCTACTTTTCTTTATTATTCTTATATTTATATTATGCTTTATTGTTGATGCTCAGGCTCTTATGAGGGTATCAGCGAATGCCAAGATGTCTATTGCTGTTGGAGGTTGTGTTCTTGCTGTCGACCTTCTTACAAGTGCACATGAAGCATCGGAAAGAACTGCTATACCACTTCAGTCCAACTTGATTGCTGCCAATGCCTTCGTCGAGCCACCGAAGGAGTGGTATTATGTTAGTAAGGCTGGGGTTCAAGTTGGTCCTGTGGAGAAAGATGCGATCAGGCGTGCGTGGTCAAAACAGGATATTGATTGGAACTCGAAGTGTTGGGCTCAGAGCATGACAGAGTGGAAACGTCTGCGGGATATTCGAGAGCTACGATGGGCTCTTGGTAATGGAGTGGCGGTGTTAACACCTGTCCAGGTGCGTTGGATTATTGAGTATTTTCATCTAATACTTCGGACATGTTTCATGCTCCATAGTGGTGAGTTTTCCTGATGGGGTTACGTGACAGTCAACAGGATTCGATTTTGTGTAAGAACCTCGAAATTTGCAATAGCATGAGGTCTTACTGCAAGTAAATCGCGATATTTAGAATAATGCTTGAATGTCCTATTTTGTTTTGCATGATGAAAATCTTGAGCCGTAGAGGATGTTTTCGCTTCACCCATTTGGAACTACTTATCAAGTGCAATATGCGTTTAAAGTTTTTAAGCGACACCTACTTGATTGCAGGTGGGAGAGGTGGCGCTGTCCATCTTACATAGCATGGTTGGGGTTCATTCAGATTTAGATGATGCTGGGGAGCTCATCACCCCAACTCCTCGCGTGAAACGTATCCTCACTAGTCCGCGGTGCTTGAATCATATTGCTCAGGTAATAATTTTCATTTTGTTTCCTGTTCAATGACTTTGGCGACATTTGTTTTAGTGTTTTTAATGATCTATGCTGTTATGACTGTGATATCGCCCTCTCAAAGGTGAAATTCGTATTGTTGCATTGATCCTCATCTTATGTTTTGCAGGCAATGTTGACTGGAGAGCCTGCACTTGTGGAAAATGCAGCATCATTGCTAAAGGCAATACTAACTAGAAACCCTAAAGCAATGGCACGCCTTTACAACACTGGGGCGTTTTATTTTGCTCTAGCATATGGTGGCTCCAACCTGGATTCTGTTGCAGAGCTTTTTGCCTCCACTCATTCCCATCAAGCCTTTCATGGGGGTGCTGATGCTGCAGTTTCATCATCCCTTCCTTTGGCTAAAAGGAGTGTATTGGGAGGCCTTCTGCCAGAGAGTTTGTTGTACGTTCTGGAGAGGAGCGGGCCTTCTGCATTCGCTGCTGGTCTTGTTGCTGATTCAGACACACCAGAAATCATATGGACCCACAAAATGCGCGGAGAACGTCTCATTGATCAGGTTTGTCTCCTTATCTTGGCTGTATCGCCTACTTCCTTGATGTAGTAAGTACTCATTAACATGGTTTTGTTGAAATTTGCAGTGCCAAGTAGTTACTTTGTATGATGCACGGATTCGAAACGCATGCACCTTTTCAATCTACCAGCTTTGTTTTGCTCTTTCTTGATTATGTGGTGGTTAATTCGTCTGTGTTAAAATGGACGTACGTGTTCAAGTATGCTTATCATTATTAGTCATGTTTATTCAAGTTTGATGAAAAGAATGTGTAATTTTTGATCACGAGGGAAGAAAAAACCTATGGATTACTGATAAGCTGGTGATGTGTGACTTTCGTGTCAAACGCAAATCGTATCAAATATCAGGTTTTAAAACATCTCGGAGACTTCCCTCAAAAGCTCCCACAACACTGTCATGTCCTTTATGAATATGCACCCATGCCTTCTGTGACGTACCCTGAGCTTCAAGATGAGATGTGGTGCCACCGCTATTACCTCCGCAATCTATGTGATCAAATTCGCTTCCCAGATTGGCCAATTGTGGAACATGTAGAGTTTCTGCAATCTTTGCTCGCCATGTGGAGAGAAGAGCTAACAAGGCGACCTCTCGACCTGTCTGAGGAAGAGGCTTGTTCTATATTGGAGATTTCTTCGGATGAAATCGACACTAGCGGTGAGAATGGTGAGGGTGAAGAAGAAGGTAAAGGTAGTGCGGGGAAGATTTTTGGACGTGTTGATGAAGAGATCCTCAAACGACAGTATCGGAGGTTGGCCATGAGATACCACCCAGACAAGAATCCGCAAGGGAGAGAGAAGTTTGTGGCTGTTCAGAAGGCTTACGAACGATTACAGGTGAACACAAGATCATTACTCCGGTTTCAAGCACTAGTGACTGAATTTATTTGCTTTCTTCCTTCGTATGTATGTAGTATGCTCTGGGCAAATTTCTGAAGCCTGTAAAACTGCACATTCCAAGAATGTATTTTGTGGATTCAGTTTTCACGAAGACTAAGCCGAGAGGCACGTTGGACATGAATCAGGCCACGTTACAAGGTTTGCAAGGTCCTCAGCCTTGGCGGCTACAACTTTTGTTGAAGGCGCAATGCATCCTTTTCAGTAGATACGGAGCTGTCTTGGAGCCCTTCAAGTATGCTGGATATCCAATGTTGCTGAATGTCATAACAATAGATCGCGATGACAACACTTTCCTTTCTCCCGAGCGAGCACCACTTCTAGAAGCGGCTACCGAGCTAATATGGCTTACGTAAGTGCCACCGTTTACTTTCTTTGTGTGTTTGTTCCTTGTGATTTTGTGCGTTTTCTTTCAGTACTATGAACTTGACCCTGATATGAATCGGTATCTGCAGGTGTTGTTCTTCTGCTTTGAATGGAGAGGAGCTGGTACGCGACGGAGGTATATCGCTACTGGCTACCTTACTTGCTCGGTGTATGAGTGTTGTGCAAAGGACAACACCTTCAACAGATCCAGCTGCTATCATTGTCACCAACATTATGCGAACTTTTGCAGGTAATTTTTGTCTCATTTTCAGTCGTCTTTTCATGTTTTCAAATGCTCCAAGAAGGATGCCCCAATATTCTTAATCAATTTGTGTAGCAATTGAAGGCGATAATAAATATGTTCGTTTGAGTCCTTTGCAATTCGGTGGGGTCTGTTTTTTTCCCTACTGTCTGGGATTCTTATGCATCCGTAGAGAGCGTACGCAGTTGATTTTCGCAACTCATGTCGTTGCTTGTTATGCGCCAGGTTTGAGTACGTTCGAAAGGGCACGTCAAGAGATGCTACATTACACAGGTTTCACTGTTGATGTAGTCCACTGCTGTGAGCTAGAGTTGGCCACAGCAGCGGTTGAAGCAGCATTACAAACAATTGCTCATCTGGCAGAATCATCAAAATTCCAAGATGCTCTTTTGAAGGCTGGAGTAATGTGGTGAGTCTGCTGTGTCAAGTCATTGGAATTCTTAATTTCAAGAGAAATGTTCAACATAATATAATATGCTATTAATTGTTATCATTCTGAATTCAAGAAGTTTAATTTTATAAGGACTCCTAAGCTTCTCGTCGTTTTTATAAGCTACATCTTCTATCTTTGATTTAATCATAGTTGTCATTCCGACCTTAAAGTTGAGAGCTATGTGCACATGATATAATAAGTTTCGAGTGATCTAAGCGGCAGGGCAACTACCCTGTTTCTGTTTAGTACAACATGTCTATTGTGTTTGTATTTAAAAAAATGATTCTGATTCTGAAGCATTATACTTATAGTAGTGTTTGACTTCTCGTGGAGGGCTATGCTTTAAATTTCATGCTGTTTGTTTCAGGTTCTTGATGCCGCTGCTTCTGCAATACGACTCCACTGCTGAGAATAGCTCCGCTAGTGGACCTCAAATTGGGAACCGTGTTCAAGCAGCCAAGAATATGCATGCGATGCTTGCAGTTCGAGCATTAGCAAGATTAGCTGGTCTTCTGGATGATGACCTTTCTACTCCTCCAAATGAGACTGCTGCTAAAGTTTTGCGAGAAATGTTGACTCCAAAACTGGCTGAAATGTTGAGTAATGAGTCTCCCAGAGATTTGCTTCGTAATCTCAACTCTAATGTTGAATCTCCACAGGTCCGTCGAGTTTCAATCTTCTTCGTCAGCCATTTGATTTAGTTTTCATTCCTATTTTGTCACTTTCAAGAATTTTGCCTGGTATTAAGACTACGAAGGAAAGGTTTAGACCAGTTAAGGTTGAAACTAAGTTTGTTTTGTCGTTTTCTAAGTTGCGTATTTTGAGGTGGTAACCGAATTTGTTGCTTTGTTTCATCACGTCCATTGATTTTCAGGTGCATTCATGTTCACCGGTGTCCGATTCAAACTGCATAGCTTTAGGCTACCATGATATTTTTAAGGCGTGTTTTCGCTTTTACTAACCAACGGCTGTTGTGCAGATAATCTGGAACTCAGCAATGAGAGCTGAACTTCTGAACTTTGTTGAAAATCAGCGTATGTCTCAGCTTGCGGATGGTACATATGACATGCGAGCAGCTCAAGACTTTAAATACATGGTCCTCATGAGCGAGCTTCATGTTGGTGATGTGTACTTACGAGTGTATAATGAACAACCAGATTCTGAAATCACAAACGGTCAATATCTTTGTGAGGCTTTAGTGGATTTCATCAGCGCAACTGTAGTGGAGAGGCAGAAAGTGTCGGAGGTTAAAATTGTCACTGATCTTGAGCCTACTGAGTCTCACACAGAGGCTGTGACAAGCGAAAATCCTATACCTCCAGTTCCAATTGATGATATGACTTATGCGGAAGTCCTTGCCGAGGATGGAGAAGCGAGAGGGGAGAGTGTTTCTTCAGCAGTTCCACCTGATGTTAATTCAAGCTCTTACGAGTCACCTGGAAAGACTCTTGTCAAGAATCTCACCATGGCGCTGAAAGCATTACAGGTATCTATTCCTACTTCTAGCGGCGCTTGTATCTTTGTAGTTCTTTTGCCGTTGCGATATTTCTCAATCATTGCTTCTTGAAGCTTAAGAACAAAGCAAATTAAAAGAGCCCATTCTTATTTTTTCGTTATTGAATTGAGTTCAAGTCTAGGTAGGAATCCGTTAGAGGATCAATTTAATTAGAATTTGCATATCTTTGAGCCATTCCTTTATCCGCACTCCTTTTTGGTTTTCAGCTCTTGGTCCAAGAAACAGTGAAATCTGACGTTTTTTTCTTGCAGAATATCTTGAATTCTGAACCAGAGTTGACTTCAGTATTCTCCTCTAGAGAACGACTATCACCTCTGCTCAGTTGTTTACTGGACACGGGAGCTTCTAGTGAACATGTACCTGAACTTTGCCTGAATGTCCTTGCAAGGCTTACTATGCAAGCATCATGCGTGGAAGCTTTGGTAGCTGACCGTTCAGCATTGCTTCTTCTTCTCCAGTTGTTGTACTGTGCTCCTGCTTGCAGGCCAGGCGCATTAAGGGTTCTGTATTCACTGGCAAGTACATCCGAACTTGCTTGGGCAGCTGCCAAGCATGGTGGTGTAGTTTACATACTTCATCTTATTCTACCTGGGCAAGGTCAGTGATCATCTGATCTGAAAGTTGGTCTGTCTAGAACGCATTTTTTGCAAGTCTTAACTAAAAACAAGAACAAATTAGGTCGTGTGGATCATGAATTACAGTGAAGGATTGTTATGAACTAGATTGACCATAGGTGTGGTACCTATTATCTGTGTATCTGGGAGGTGTTTCTCCATTGATTTGCGTTTTGGTGGGATTTTGAATCCATAATAATCTTATGCCTCAATGTCCGCCCACATTCAACATATCTAAAGAAACGTTGTTTATGCCTAATCGTCATTCTGAACTTTACTTACAGGTTTTCTGCTTCGAAAGTTTACCATTTTTCTGATCTGCTACATTTTCGTTTCGCAGGAGAAGTCCCCAGTCAGACCAGGATAACATCGGCATCTTTATTAGGAAAACTTGTGGGACAACCTATGCATGGACCTAGAGTAGCCATCACTGTGGCACGGTTCCTCCCAGATGGATTGGTTTCTGCCATACGCGATGGACCAGGCGATGCAGTAGTTGCGGCCTTAGATCAAAGCAGCGAAACCCCAGAGCTTGTTTGGAGTCCTGCAATGGCTGCATCTCTCGGGGCGCAGCTGGCAACTATGGCAGCCGATCTGTATAAAGAGCAAACCAAGGGTAAAGTGATCGAATGGGATCTTCCTGAGAGTTCATCTGGGGAGCAAGACGTGAATGAAGAACCACAGGTAATTTTTCATATGGTTGTTATTTTTCTCTTGTCTTAAAATTTTAAGATGGTTTTATTTTTGTAGTTCGTCTGTGATGTAGTAGAAAATTCCTCTGGCTTCTTCGGTGGTTGATATCCTCACTTCTTGTTGCATACTGTCACTCATAAGCTTTTTTGACCTCAGGTTGGTGGAGTGTATGTTCGCTTGTTCCTGAAAGATCCCAAATTCCCTCTTCGAAATCCGAAGCGGTTCTTAGAGGGTTTACTTGACCAATATGTCACAGCAGCGGCAGCCACTCATGCAAGAGATGGGTCTCAAGTAGACCCGCAGCTTCCATTATTACTCTCTGCAGCTCTAGTGTCACTCCTACGTGTTCAGCCCTTACTTGCTGACCATGTTGCCCACTTGGGTTACGTGCCAAAGCTGGTTTCAGCCATGGCTAATGAGGGTCGTATTGTCTCATCGGCCTCTTCTCAGAGTATTTTAGCTAAGAGTGGTAGCCGAAGTGGGGAATCTCCCTGGGAAGTTGAAGACGGTGAGGGTTTAATGGGAAGTCAGACTCCTCAAGAACTAGTTCGATTAAGTTGCTTGAGGGTGTTGCACCAGTTGGCTGCCTCTACTGCATGTGCTGAGGCTATGGCTACTCCAGGAATGGGATCTCCTCAGGTAATTTTATGGGGTTTTCCTTCGTGTTTATGATGCCCTCAGCTTTACTTTGGCTTGGCAATGCTTTCATCAAGAGCTGCCAGCTTTGTTTGCCAGCTTGGATCTTGCTTTTTGTTCTCATGGTCTGATTTTGCCGATTAGTACTCTTATGGTTTTGCATATCTCATTTCCTTGCTTCGATCCTTCAATTTGTCCCTGATGCTGGTTTTTACTTATGTGATGTCAAAGCTCAGACATGTTCAAAAGCAGGTTAGTTACGAAGATGTTATGATCATTTATCCTGCATGAACCGCAGATTGTACCACTGTTAATGAAGGCCATAGGGTGGCAAGGAGGTAGTGTGTTGGCACTAGAAACTCTCAAAAGAGTTGTTGGTGCAGGCAATCGTGCTCGTGATGCCCTTGTTGCTCAGGGATTGAGGTAAGTACTTTCTTGCATACCCTTTTTGGTGGAATTGCTTGTCTGCTTGTTGAGATATTCCTTGCAGTTGTGAAAAATTAAACGCCTGGAGACTTTATTGACATTCTGTAATGTAGTAACCTGCTTAGACCATGTTTTATGATTTGCTTGTTTATTTCATTAATTCTATTTTTGGCTGTTAGGTTATGAGATAACTATTTTTCTTCACTTTGATAGAGACTCTAAATTTCTTGGTTATGCGCAGAGTCGGTTTGGTGGAAGTTCTGCTTGGTATTTTGGACTGGCGAGCTGGAGGAAGATATGGGCTGTGTTCTCAAATGAAATGGAACGAGAACGAAGCCTCTGTAGGCCGTGTTTTGGCTGTTGAGGTATGCTGAACCGTATATGACCTTTTTGGAAGACCCAGTAGTAGTTTGAATTGAGGTTCTTACTTGTGAACGGCTGTTGAGAATGCTCTTTCGTGGATGTTAAGCAAGTTCCAAGTAAGTCTGGGTTGGATTGGGATGCAGGTTTTGCAAGCCTTTGCTGGCGAGGGTGCACACTCTGCGAAAGTTCAAAATGTTCTATCATCCTCAGATGTAAGAATTCTTTTTAAATCTTTTCAATAGGAAATCGCTTAAATATCTCCTGTTATTTCACTCCTGTCCACGTAGTAACTAGTGTCTTCAGGCACCTCCAGCACTTACAAGCGGGTAAACTTTTGTTTGATGTGCTTCGGGTTAGTAGTGTGTTGAAATTTCTAATTAAAGTGTATTTTTGAACCTGTCAGGTTTGGAGTGCTTACAAAGATCAAAAGCATGATCTGTTCCTACCTTCAAATGCCCAAACTGCTGCAGCAGGTGTAGCTGGTCTTATTGAGGACTCCTCCGGAGTTGTAAAATATGCCCTACCTCATCCTTCTCGGTCTGCAATAGTTCGTCTCTCCGGCTCTTATACTTCTGATACGAATGCCGGAAGAGAATGAGGCTTAATCTCCTATCTGCGACTTGTAGCTCATCATGGGTTCTCTATGTAGTTTTCATTTTGTACACTTGCGGTGTCTTCTGTTAATTTGTAATCATTCAGGCTGGTACCCAGTCTGTTAGATTTCCTAGGTTTTTATTTGCAAATCTAGAGCAGATCTAGGCTTTAATGGGGTTAATATTGGAGTTTGACTTCATCGACTTGTGATTGTTCCAGCTGGGCACCCGAGCTCCTGATTGGTTGTTCTTGTTGCCCACCATAATTGTAAATAAATTTGCGCTGCTAGATTCTTTGCGTCGATATTGATAGAATGAGAGTGCAAACCTCTTTACAAACGTTTGATATCGTGTGATTGGCTATTTATGCTTTCATTCTTGTAGCCACGATTCCATTAAGGCATTCGACAGTATCATCTGAATCCCACTACCAGCTCATGAATACAAATGAATTACACCTGCTGGTTCGTTTATGTGAAAGTGTCCATGAATCTCCTGCTTTCTCTCGAAATCATTTAATCGATTGCTCTCAAATTTTGTTTCGATGTATATCAACTAGTGCCCGTGATTCTACGTGTTTACAGTTTTAAGCACACAAAAATTGAACCCTCGCAGTTTGCAGTATTTGTAGTTTTACCCTCCACGTATTCTACTGCAGAAATTTTTGTAAGGCTTCTCTAAATTGAAATGAAAAGAGCAAGTAAGAGTATTCACGCTTTCACATGCCTCATTTGTTTTTCTTTATTTCTTTTTTGTTTAAAAATTATTAAACAATTGGGGGTTTTATATTTAGAAGACAAGGTGAGAAATCACAATTATTAAAATCTTTTGATTGGTTGAAATTGAGAAGTCTCACTAAGTTGGCTTCATATTTAGAAAAATCATTTGAAAAGTCCTAAAAGAAATAATGAGATGAATTGTATTTTTTTCTTACATGGCATGAATGGTGTTATCTCCCTAGAGTTTCTTTTGAGTCTATCTAAAAAGATGGTTTTTAAAAATGTTTAAGAAGTTTTGTCAAAAATTGCTAATAATAATCATTTTAAAATATAAGAAAATAAGTAGCAAGACTCCTCTCTCTACACTATATTCAAAATACTAAAACTTAGAAAGGATGATTTTTCTTTGCAAGGCTTTTGAACAATGACCTTTCAAAATAGACTTCTATCAACAGTGAGACAGCATGAAATGGAACCTAACCTCCATGTGTACATCAATGTGTAGATATTATGCTAGCCTGATGGATTGAAATTCAACTCATTCTCATTTCTCTTGGACAAATGAGCTTTTTTACAATAATATCACACTCCATGAATGGACTCTCTTATTCTACGTTGTAGCTTCATCACAATAGGTCTTGTATTCCATTTAGCAATGTTCCAGGGTGGTTGAGTTATATCTAAGGTGTTTTCTGTAATTTGAAAGATTAGATGCAAATATAACTAGAAATAGTCGTGTATGAGACAGATTGAACAATGGAGAACATGAGTTCCATAGTTTTATTGTGTGCCATCCTTAGCTTGTAGTAATCCCAATAGTATTTAAGTATCTCCCTTATAAATGTCAGTACAAGGTTCAATAGAGGTAGGAAGTAGTCAATACAAAAATTAGACAAGGGGAGTTCAAGATATGGAACAAGGAACAAGGGAGGAAGATGGAGAATGGATGGAATGGATGGAATCAATTATGAGATGGCAAAAAGGAGTGGGGCTTTAACAACATTAGGATGTGGCTTTAATGACATTAGGGTGTAGCTTTAACAACTTCTTAAACTTATTATATAGATAAAGCTTTAGAATTTTTATTAGAAAATAAAATTCTTTAAAAATACTTTAATCTACATGTGTTGTCATTTAATTATTATTTTAATTAAAGTCCCTTTGAAGATTTTTTTTTATGTAGTGGAAATATGTTTCTATCTAAATTATTGGTATATGAAAGATTATACAAGGACTTTTGACCCTTAACAATTTTAGGATAGTTATACAATTATTCACTTTTTTAGTGAAGATTACAAGACTTATTTACAATAAAATTTTTGACAACTTAAAAATCTTTACTATTAGATTTTGTTTCATTGGTAAGTCCAATTTGATGTGCTTATTAAATTGTTGTTGGTCTGCCTTATTACAATTTTTTTTAAATGTGCTTCAAAACACATACACACATACATATAGCTTTTAAAGGTTTTTTTAATGTCTTATTCTCATTGATTATATATATATATATATATATATATATATATATATATAACTTTTAAGTTTGATATTAAAACTAAAAATTAATATTTGACTAAGATATACATGTATTTTTAAAATATGGAATTTGGGATTTGACAATCAAACTTTTAAAATAAATGTCATGGGCTTGATGAATGGGATACTTTTCAACTTGTATTCACATCATAATCAACATTTTTTCAAGTATAAATAATAAAATTTAACCTCTTTTTACAGAGTTTCTAATTGCAAGAAGAGTTGATGTCACATACATCATCTTCCAGTTCCTTGTAATACCTTTCATACTGCTTTTAAAAAATTTTCAAAACCATTCATTTTTTCTTTTCTTTTCTTTTTCTCTTTTTTTTTGTCCGTCATTTGAAAACCCCATAATATACTCCAAAAAACTTGCTCAATTACATTTTACCCTCGTGGAGTGAAGCAAAAGCCAAGCTGATGCCAAAATGGAAAGTACTCAAAATGAAAATGAGCCCAGTTACAAAACTACCTGAAAGTGAGGGGAAAAAAAAAAAAAGAAAAAAAAGAAAAGAAAAGAAGCTTAATCGACGTTGCAATAATGTGCAATAACTGCTGCAGATCGACGTCGGCAGCCAGAAAACAACAACAACAACAACAACAACTGGGGTCGAGCTTCGAGGAGTGTTTGTAGGCCGGGATCATGCGGCATTTGGGTACCCGAGGATATGCTAGCTCTGGCTAGAAACTGAAGGAATCTGATCAGAATCTGTGCACCGAGCTGTGCAGGTTGAAGGGCCGGTGACATGCAAGACATGAGAGCAGGAGCTTCGAAGGGTGTGAGCCCACTAGGATATTATGCTCTGCTCGTGTCCAACACAAACTGGACACACTGTAGAATTGAGAAGCTGGGGAAATAAAATAATTACTGGTCCGGCCTGCCATTCCAGCGCCGCATCAGTTGTGAGTGTGAATCGAGAAGAGTCGGGTGACATTCCCAGTCCTGGTTACTATGCTTTGTTGATGCTGCTAGACACATCGCGCCAGGGGATAAACCCCTTGACTACGAGCTTTGATAAGAATATTTTATTGGCATCTGAGATCAGTCAAGGGGATGCCAGGTATCAATCGAGAATATTCTTTCCCTTGCTGTGCTTCGTGAATGTGCTTCGCTGTTGCTCCGTCCTTCCTCGACGATCTAGCAGTCGCGGTCCATTTCCCTCCGGCGAACTAGCAGTCGCGGTCCATTCCTTCCAGCTAACTGGCAATTCTGCCGTCTAGCTTCCGCCTTGACGAAGAATCCTGCCGTGGTATCGTGTGAGATATCCGCCACGGCGGCGTCATCAGCCGCTTCTTTCTCTTTCCACACGTTTGAGTTGCATTCTGGCGGTCACTGCTAATTATCTATGCACAATTGTCGGTTACGAACCCACGCTTGTGTGAGCTCACTCTCTAACAGCAACATGGTTCTACTTTTTTTTTCTTTTTCGTTGCACCCAAGCTCAATCACGTTTGGTCGTTATCCTGTTGCAACATGTAGTACATTCCCGATTTCCCACTCGCACATGGTCTCCGTGCCCGAGTGTTTATGCCATGTCCTGGCCACACCCATCTCACTCATTTAGCTGAGAAACTCCCCTTCAGTTCCAGTTTCCTCTATTCTTTTACTCTTCTTCTCCCCTCCCCATCACTTGAAACTCCGATCACACAAATAAACACACAGTTCCAATTGTAAGAGTTCTAAAACCACTTCAAGTCGCAGAGAACTCACCAAATTCATTTCCAAAGCGAGAGATCCACCAACGCAATGGCTCTTATAAAGGGGCAAAAAAAAAAAAAAAAAAAAAAAAACCACCACCACCACCACCACCGCGTGCATCCATCGCCTGGTCCACGAGGAACATGGTGCCTACTCAGTTCACAGTACCTATCACGCTCCCTTCTCTCCTGAGAGGGGAATAGGTCGGGAATTGGATGGATGAAGCCGAGAATTTGAATGCCGCGCGGGTGGGATTAGTAAATAGGGGGTGGAAAGGACTACCGGGGGTGGCCTTTTTTGTGTTTCGTGAAGCTTGCAAATCGTCGTCACGACGACGATGGCTATGGAGTCCCCCTGGCGATGGCGAGCCAGCAGCTTTAGGGGATCCACACGCTGCCTGCTTTCTCACTAGCCTCCTCTTCCTCTTCCTCCGCCTCTATCCGGGGTCCCTTTATTTCCATCCCATCCGACTTTCCCAGTCGACGTTGCGCTCCGCAACCGCCAACTCGAATTGCGACCTCTGCGTTGTTTCGCGTTTCTCTGCAGTAGCTCTTGCTTGATCCGTTCTCGAGGTGGGGTGGATTGTGTTGCGTGCGTGCGTGGTGTCGAGTGAATTGAGGACCAGAGTGGATGCAGGTGGTGGTGGTGGTGATTGTGAGGCTTTGAGAGCTAGCGGGCTCTGCGGGTTTGGATTGAATTGGGTCGCGGAGGGGGAGACGCGAGGTCTGTTTTTTTCTGTCTCTTGGATTGAATTTGCGAGATGATTCTGCGCTACGAGGAGAGCGGAGCATAGCAGGTCTTAGTTGAGTGGTAGTTGCTTTTGAATCCAAGATTGTACGGGTTTCTTGCATGGGATGCTTTGAATCTAGGATGTTGTGTCGATTTTCGTTGCTAGTCCCTGTTTCTTTGTGACAATTGTAATCAGTCAGGCGAACGTGGGCGACAACTACCTGTGTTGCTGTCGAATTGCGGCGCTGTCTTTTCGCCAATCGTGCACATGATTTACACTAGAGTTGTCTGCAAATTCAAACTGCAACATCTGTTCACGATCTAGATGCTGTTTCTAAGTTTAGAAACAGTGAATGGGAATATTGTCACAATGTCGTTGATTAGATTGGACCCACCTCTTCTTCTCTTTGACAGAAGGTGATGAACAGGATTTTACTTGAGGACCTAGGTCGCGATTCACGAGGCCTGTTGATCTTAGTCTTATGCCGGAACTTATTGTGGCTAATGATGGGGTAATTCTCATTGTTGAATTTGCACATGGTTGTGAGGTTTGAATTAACTCGCGAATTCGGGTGTTAACAGAAGGAGAGAAGGTTGGAACTTTAAGTGCATCTTGTATGGGAACCTTTTCGGGGTTAATCCTCACTGTACCAGAAGCAATTCAACGGCGGAAGCACTTGAATTTCGTTTTGATTATGTGGCTACAGCGGATCATCTGCTTCAATTCATTTTTTAAGGCATTTGTTTGCGTCTTTGTGAAGCTCATTGACCTGCAAGGTTTGTCATCACTGCTTTCTTTTATTACGTATGATTTCACAATGTATGACGACTCAGTTTTGCATCGCGAAAGATCTTTGAGTTTGTAATTTCTGAGACGTAAAGCTTTCGAATGTGCTGCCCTCTGCTTTCCCTCTCTCTTCGATCTTCGCTTCGACATTGGAGTTGTATGTCAAATTTCAAGCCCTCTTATTCTTTTTGGGCGAATCTGACGTTTGAGTTGAGTCTCAAGGTGTGTCTGTGCAGCGGAATGTATCGGTATCTAGTATTGAGTGAAGCTGTTGAATGTGGTTGGTTTGAAGCTTCTTACTCGGAATCACGCATTGATTTCTTACAGAGTTGGTTAATTCGCACGCTGTCCACCACAAGGCTAACAGAAGCAGAACTCAGACCAAACTTAGTGAACTGCTGCCAACAAATTGGGTTCATGATTTAGAACTTTCAATTGGAGAAGTAGACCGTGACTTTGGATACTCAAAATCAAGTTTTTGTATGACTTGAGCAGCCTTCCGACGTTGGAATCGTTTATATCAATCAGGTACCGTTGTTGTGTCCCTGCTCTTGTTATTTATCAGCTGAATCAGTTGAAACGTGACGGTTTGTCACGACCCTTAGAGACCACAGTATGGTTGGCAAAAATGAATACTTGAAGACGGTGTTCATAATGTGGAAATCCTCAGATTTTTCTTGGGCCATTCGGTAGCCATAAAGTTTGACATTGTTGGTGATTGGCTGGTTTGAAGAAATTCAAGTGCTGGCTTGCCCTTGTTTTCAGAAAATATGGTATGTTTTGTTTCTGCATCTGGTTGGAACCTAGTTGCAGAGACAAGTTACGATCGTTAACTTAACAGTGTTGTAGAATATAACGACTATTCAGTTTTGTGTATAGTCTTTGGCAGATAATTGTCGTAGAGAAGAAACTTTTAATGCTGGATAATGCGGAGGCATTGGATGAAGACTTGGGTACCAAATTTCAGTATGCGCCGCTACCCATGGATCCAATGGAGTCAGATGTCCTTCAGGGTTCTTTTGAACAGCAGGATCCAATCTTCACGGAGCTGCCAACCGCCCGAGTTGTTGAGGTCTCTCGATCTGAGCGCAATGATCAGAGCCTAGCCTTCCAACTTGTGTACACCATTGAGCTACAGTACAAACAGTTCACTTGGCGTCTTGAAAGGAAGGCGACTCAGCTCCTGTTCCTACATTTGGCTTTGAAGAAGCGCGCGTTACTTGAAGACATTCAAGAGAGGCAAGAACAAATCAAAGAGTGGGCTCACAACCTAGGATTTGGAGATGAACATCCCTCCACATCCACAACCACTAATCTGCGCTCACACTCATCACACCATGAGCGCCACTCCTCACAAGGTGGTCACTCTTCACAACATGGGCGCAACAATTCACAGGACCACTCCCCACGTCATTGGCGGCACAATTCGCAGGATCATTCGTCACATCATGGGCGTCATAATTCGCAGGACCATTCCGCACATCATGGGCGTCGTAATTCATTCAATCTATCTGGTGAACGCCGCCTTTCTCTTGATCGGCAACAGCATTCTTCACTCAACGAAGGTCAAAATGACGAAAACCAGGAAGGAGCCCAGGACTTCACTCTTAACCCGAAGAGAGACATTCCTTCAAGCGCCGCGCTTCCTGTCATACGTCCAGCGATTGGTCGCCTCCCGGATATATCTCCGCGAGCTACTGCTGCTATGCAAAATTATTTGAATCACTTCTTGGAAAGCCTCGACATTGTCAATACTGTTGAAGTATGCAAATTTTTGGAAGTTAGCTCACTCTCGTTTACCCCGGAGTATGGACCAAAGCTCCAAGAAGGCTACATGACGGTGAAGCATCTTCCTCGGTTTCCTGACGAACGATCTTCCTCGTGTTCCCGTTTCTGGGAGTCTTGCTGGTGCTGTTTCAATACGAACTGGCAAGAGGTTTGGGCAGTTCTTAAGCCCGGGTTTTTAGTTCTCCTTGCAGATCCTTTTGTTGGAAAGCCTCTGGATATTATTTTGTTCGACATGTTGAGCTCCTCTGAGGTGTGTACAGTATCTAACATTACTATCTGTTCTATCAGTTAGGAAGGTTAGTCTAAAGCATTTGATTGAATCTTAGGAAACAGTCATCTTTAGATCCTCGGTTTGTCTTTAAATTGTGGGAATAGAATTCAGTCGTCTGCAGTATTTTTCACTTTGATATTCGTTAATTGCGTTATCACTTGTAGTCTTGCTCTCAGTAAAGAAGATGGTCGTTGGGTTCTTGCAGAATCAGGTTGCCCTAGCAGAGCCTGGGAAGGAAAGAAATCCTTTAAAATTCTCGTTTGTAGTTAACTGTGGTAATCGGGAGTTGAAGTTCCGCACAAGTCGGGCGGTCAGTGCACGTGATTGGGTGGACGCAATAAACAACGCGGCCGTGAAACCCAGTGACGGCTGGTGCAATCCACATCGGTTTGGTTCCTATGCTCCACAGAGAGGGATGACAGCAGACGGAAGTGTGGCTCAATGGTTCATAGACGGAAGAGCCGCTTTTGATGCAATAATGATGGCCATTGAAAGTGCTCAGTCTGAAATCTTCCTCACAGGGTGGTGGTTGTGTCCTGAGCTATATCTACGTAGACCTTTCATGTCCCACGAATCCTCTCGACTAGATGTTCTGCTGGAAAGCAAGGCGAAGGAAGGAGTTCAAATTTACGTCCTCTTGTACAAGGAAGTGTCCATGGCGTTGAAAATTAATAGTAATTATTCAAAACGAAGGTTGCAAGGGATCCATGAGAACATCAAAGTGCTACGGTGGCCAGACCACTTCTCGTCAGGGGTTTACCTCTGGTCGCACCATGAGAAGCTTGTAATCGTGGATCATCATGTATGTTTCTTAGGAGGGCTTGATCTGTGCTATGGGCGATACGATGATCCTAATCATCGTGTGTGGGATAGCCCTCCTTCAATTTGGCCAGGGAAAGACTATTATAACCCACGCGAGTCTGAACCGAATTCTTGGGAGGACGCAATGAAGGATGAGTTGGATCGGAACAAGTTACCTAGGATGCCATGGCATGATGTTCAGTGTGCAATCTGGGGCCCTGCTTGCCGCGACGTCGCCAGACATTTTGTTCAGAGGTGGAACTTTGCGAAGCGGAACAAGGCTCCTAATACCAAGGCAATTCCTATACTGTTACCACATCAGCACATGGTCATTCCTCATTATCTTACTGGTCAAGAAGAAGAGGAAGCTAAAGTGGAAGTGGAAGTTGCGAGGCAACAAGCTGCGGATGCTAATAAATTGGCATCCTATGCTAGTATCCCGCTGCTTATTCCCAAGGAACTGGACACCTCTAGGCTGGACACTCGTGGAAGTGGGACTCTGTTTGATGGCTATGGAAGTGGGATTGCAAAAGAATTCTCAGGGCTTCAGCCTATGAGAAGCAGCGGTAGAGTAGTGCCATGTCCAGATTCTACTACAGAGCCCGGCTTCATTTCGTCAGACTATGTCATAACTGACTCCAAAGAATCCTCTTTTAAAGAAAAAGCAGATGACAATTTCAGTTTCACGAAGGCGACTCCGCCAGAACATGGATTAAAAGAGAATCATACAGATTGGTGGGGATTAGTACAGCCTGTCTCAGATGAGAACCTCGATATGGAGGGGTTAGGCGACATTGGACCACGGTCGCATTGCAAGATCCAGGTAATTCGCAGCGTAGGTCAGTGGTCTGCTGGCACAACGCAACTGGAAGAGAGAAGCATTCACGCAGCCTACTGTTCGTTGATAGAAAAGGCAGAGCATTTTATCTACATTGAGAATCAGTTCTTCATCTCAGGCATGGACGATGACGACACTATCCGGAACAGAGTACTGCAGGCATTATATGTACGGATTATGCGGGCACATTCAGAAGGCAAGTGCTTTCGAGTGATTGTGGTCATGCCATTATTGCCTGGTTTCCAAGGTGGAGTCGACGACGCTGGAGCCGCCTCAGTCAGGTTCATTATGCATTGGCAATTCCGGACTATTTGTCGGGGTAGACATTCGTTACTACATCGGCTTCAGGCTTCTTTGGGACCTCAAGCTAACGATTACGTCTCGTTCTATGGGCTTCGAAACCACGGCCGGCTCGAAAACGGTCCTTTAGCCACCAGCCAGATCTATGTGCACAGCAAGCTCATGATTGTGGATGACCGCCTCGCTATAATCGGGTCCGCCAACTTAAATGATCGGAGCTTGCTGGGCTCCCGTGACTCAGAGATGGGTGTTGTCTTAGAGGACCAAGAGTTTGTGAACTCGAAGATGAACGGCAAACCGTGGCGGGCAGGTCGCTTTGTGCATTCCTTACGCCTCTCCCTCTGGTCGGAGCACTTGGGCGTAGACTTTTCCAATATCGAGACAATAGTGGATCCAGTTGGGGATGCTACATACAAGGAGGTGTGGATGAAGACTGCGCAGAGGAACACGGACATTTATCAAGCCACGTTTGCATGCATCCCCGCGGATAATATTCACTCTCGGTCTGCTCTACGGCAGGCGGCTGCACAAAGGAAAGAGAAAATGGATCAGAATACGATTGATCTTGGAATAGCTCCTGAACCCTTGGACCAGGATGGGCGACCAATCTCTCAATTCCAAAACAAGCAGCTGGAAGCAGTTCAAGGTCATCTTGTAAACTTTCCTCTCAATTTCATGTCAGATGAAGACCTGCGGCCAGTTTTCAAAGAAAGTGAATACTATGCCTCAGCTCAGATCTTCCACTGAAAAGGTGACCCATTCCTTGTCATCTTTAGCTTATTTGCCATCAAATCAGATTTTAATGCTTCGTGACAAACATTAGACTCTGTATCAAATTAGCTCTCTTATACATTTTAGGATATTGTGGAGCTCCCGACAAACCAAACAACTTGAGGCACATGTAGCCCACAATTCAACATTTCATCATGCCTTTTTGTTGTCGCATTGCTGTAGCTTGTAGTCATGTTTATACTGGAGTCCATATCCCTGCTATTTATTTCTTGACCAGCTCGCGTCTAGCTAACACTCGTAGATTATGTTGTGTAGCTGTTTGTCACACAACCGACACAGAGTTGGATTCAACTGAGTAGTCTATTAAAAGACAGTTGTGGGAGGTGTGAGGGTCCAAATGTACTCAACAATTGATTTCAGAAGCTCCTTCAGGTCTCGGATATGAAGAGCACTAGGCCCAATCGTGTACATAATACTGTAATTGTTGTTAATTGTTTTTGGTGGAGCTTTTAGTTAGATTGGTATAACCATTGCAAGACTTACGTGCAGGTCTAGTGCTGTGATCGTTGGCATGAAAACGAACTTTCACATGTGGCACATTTGTGTAAAATTAGACTCAAACAATCATTTTGGGTAGTATTGGATGTCATTTCAATACACATCAAAACATATTATTTCTCAATGTCTCTAATTAACTTGCTCAAACCCAGGTGTGAGATTTAACCCATGCCCACGATTTAAAAACAACAATATCGTGTTTTCGCTATCATTTGATTGTACTTGGGTGTATCACCATCTTATTATTTGTCATCCATAATAAGCCCACTAAATTCAGAGTGACTTCGAAGGCTATTTATGATGTGAAGTTGCCAATGTAGGATTATCTTTTAATTATCATAACTTGATTCCAATTAAAACATTAGACATTTTTTAGGTTACACAAATGCTGTACTAACTCACACCTTAGCAAAAAAATCAGTGGCAGTATTATCTACATCTCAATAATAGCTTCACCTTGTTGTAATTCTGTGGAACATTCTTTTAGATTGAAAAAAGTAAAATAACTAAATGATGTATTTTAAAATATGTAAAAATATGTTTCTCTTCTCATATTTTACAAATTCTGTCATGGGCCTCCCACTGTCTTCCCTTTTACAATTCTTTCTTCATTCCTACAATTCCAAAAAAAAACACTCAAGATTCATTTTTATAAAACTCTGTATTTTTTAAAGTTATGTCTTCCTGTCGACAATTAAAATAATATAAATAGTTATCACTTAATGTTTTTATTGTATACATATAAGTAATGTTTTCGTCCTTTCATTCAAATTCAAATTTGAAGAATGTATGGCATATCAAACATATAATATTTTTTAGAGAAATCGTGTCATATTATTGCTTTTCATGTCCACTCATGGTGCCCGTCAACTTTTTGTAAAACATTTCCAACAGCTTATATATATATATATATATATGTATGTATGTATTCATCAAATTGCCACCATTTCATGCATCACTCTCAAGTCCCATTTGTTTTTTTGGCATCATGAAAACTCTCTCAAGAGAGTTTACAAAATCGATTATTACTTCATCGACTACTACAATAAAGAACACTTCAACTATGAAATAACAAACATTTATCAAATTTTCAATTTTACCATTTTTAAAGTCTATCATTCAAACTGGGATATGAATACGATCGATTATAAACCCCAATTTTATTGAAAATTTCCTACATTAGATTTTATCGCTCTTAATAAAATGACATACTTGTTTAAAGCTCATCATTAAAAAGAAAAAAAACTTCACGTAATTATGCTATTTTAAAATATTTATCTGATGAATTTTGATATGTAAAGGATATCAATTTTATATATATATATATATATATATATATTTATTTATATATATATAGATTAAAAAAATAAAAATGATATAACACATTCCAACAAAACCTCGAAACATCACTAACCATTCGCAATTCAGTTTTTGTGAGAATGAATTAAAAAAAAGAGAGAAAATAAAGTCAACTTACGCTACACATCAACCTTCCTCAACCCAACTCCATGAAATCTACATTTCACACCTTAGAGATCTACAAAGAGAACCGCAATAAGAGTCGCCATTGATTCTCGGTTTCTCGTAGATATTCAGGAACAAGCCAGATCGTAGATATGCTCCACCCCCCGTCCCGCGACGCGAAGACGCGGTGGTGGCCATGGCGACAGGGCTTCGTCGTAGGAGCTCAAGCTCGCCGCAGCTGGCTGGCTATGGCTTTCCTCCGCACCGCGTCGTCGTAGCTTCGCAAGGGCGTTGTTGCCGGAATCACGCTCCTTGTCGCAACCACTAGGGTTGGTTATTCATGACTGAATGAATTCCTCCTTCTTCTAATTTCCATGCCCTCCCCTCCTCTGTCTCCTCCCACCGGGTGAGGTCCTCCGACTGCTTCCTCACCCGATCATCTCCTGTTATTTTGTTTGTTTATTTTTCCTGTATTCTATTAGGATTGGCAAGGGATTGGGAAGGGATTGGTTAGTAATCACCGCTCTCGGCGTCTTCAACGGTGCAGAGCCTTGCGGTGGAAGGGAAAGCGGTTTGGCTTGCGAGAGGAGGAGTATTTTTTTCCGAGGTTACTGGATTGCAGCGACGGGGATTGAGGTTAAGGTTTTTGTCCGCCCAGGGTTGTTGTCGAAAATGGTTGCCATGGATCTGTTCCGGTCGGAGGAGATGACTCTCGTCCAGCTTATCATTCCTGCCGAATCGGCTCACGATACCGTCACCTACTTGGCGGAGCTTGGTCTGCTCCAGTTTAAAGATGTGAGTCTCGTTCCGTTTCTCTCTTCTAGCGGTGTGATGGCAGTGATCTTGCGCAGCTGAAATTCTCTCGGGTTTTCGAGTGGCAGTACGTCATTGGCAAGCTTTGCCGTTGCATTTGGTCTAGATCCTCGCATGAGTTAGCCAGGACCGCAATTTGTTTGTTTGTTTGTTTGTTTTTTTTTTGTTTTGTTTTGTTTTGTTTTGTTTTTTTTGTTTTTCTTTTCTTTTGCAATTCGAATTATTGCCCGCTTTTTAGGATCTTCAGATTTTGTGCTGCATCAAGTGACTGGGCTATTAGTCAGTGTTTCAAGCGATTCGAAGTTTCTTCTGCCCTTCTAGGCGACTGTAGTGCTTCGATCTCATCTTCGCGTCTAAATCCTCACAATGAATTTTAGTATTGTAGCTTGCAAAAAATCAATGGCGGAAGGCATTTGGTATTCACCAGCTCCCCGGAGTCGGTGAACTGTTATGGACGAAGTAAGAAAGTACTCTCTTCTATATTCCAAAATGGACCTATTGATTGATCGATTTATTTATTTTGAAAGATTTTTTGGCAAATTAGGTGTGCACGCAATGCCGTATTGGCGATTCTCGTGTTGTTGCGTCTAGGTTCAAAGCTATAGTTGTTACAATACTGTAAGCTACCTTAATGTCTTTCTCAATTAGCAGGGGTTAAGAACATGCTCCTCTTTTTCTCTATGGGTTGAGGCGTTAGAGCTTAAATTTAAGACATGGTTTTCAGTACGAATTGCGAGTTTTCAACCTGCGCACTTGAAATATGATTCAAGGTTTTAATTAGAAAGAGCTGGTGATAGCGTGATACGTTTCATGCTTCGTTCAGTATCTTCTCGAGTAACTACCTCCTATATTTTTCATTAGAGACTATTTCTTATGGTATCTCCCCTGGTTTTTAATTCGGATCTGTGTTATTTTCTTTTAGAATGGCATTATCGGGATCGTTGGAGGTTCTGGTAGGGACTCGATGCATTAAAGAAGACAGTGCAAATCAAATAATTGATCAAATTTTCCTTACTCTAATCAGGTTTTTAGGTTGATGTAAATTTAAGCATAACTTCGATGAGCTCTTCAGCTTGGTTCTCTCCGACTCTACCTTTGGAACTTTCAGCAAACGTGCTGTGAATAACTCCAGTCGAAATAGGAGTTGCACAATTTTTTTTTTTTTTTTTTTTTTTTTTTTTTTTTTTTGTGCCCGTGTATCAATAAGTTATTGCTTTATGTGTGAGTGGGTCTTCATCTGATTTTCTTGCTCAGCAGCCCCTGGTGCGTGTTATGGCAGTTAAACCCAGAGAGGAGTCCATTTCAGCGAACTTATGCTAACCAGGTGCGTTCTCCGACATCCTTCTATGTTCCTTTTTGGTTATTTTTGGTTAGGTGTTTGTTGGTTGTGTTTTTTCTATTCTTAGTCGAGCTTAATTTTATACACTTCACACTTTGTGAATGTCGAACGTGGTAACCTGGTTTTGTATACTCTCAGGTTAAGCGATGTGGAGAAATGTCAAGAAAGATACGTTACTTTCAGGACCAAATTACAAAATCTGGTAGAACAGCTGCATACAGGCCTTTGAGGGACAAAGATATAGGTGTAGATGAGCTTGAGGCAAAACTTACGGATCTCGAGGCCGAGTTGTTAGAAATCAACGCAAATACTGATAAACTTCAGCGAACCCATAGTGAACTTACCGAGTTTCAGTTAGTGCTGCACAAGGTAACAGACCTCAGCTTTAAGGGCCACTTTGAGTGCACATTTGAACAAAAACAAAGTATGCACCTTACATTAAAATATTTTCCGTTTTTGTTGTGGCTAGCCTGGATGAAAGCAAAGAAGGCTGTTTTCTTAGTGGCGGTCAATGACCTGCTCATTGTTGTTTCTCCTGCAAATGCAGTTGGCCCTGATTTTAGTGACGATGTTTGTTTGAGTATTTCTCAATTTCGTAGAGCTTCATTTACGCAAACTGAGCTGTTGCAGTCTTGTGTGTGGATAGGCTGGTGCTTTCTTCAGTTCCGTGAGGAATGCAGCAAATACTGTGCAACAAAGAGCAGATATTGAGAATGGTTCCTCAATTGGAGAAGCTATTGATCGCCCACTTCTACAAGAACAGGTGTAGTGTGATTCTCTTATTACATGAATGTGTGATTGGGATAGAGCTGATATCGAAACAATTTCCTTTTATTACAATCCTTGTGTACGTCAATGCCCTTTCTCTTAGCATCTTGTGTGAATTCAACTTCGTCTAATAGTAGTATTTCTCTCAGGAGATGCAGACCGAGCCATCAAAGCAAGCTAGGTTGGGCTTTATTACAGGGGTGATTCCCAAAATTAAAGCAGCATCTTTTGAGCGCATTCTTTTCCGAGCTACTCGAGGCAACATGTTTCTGAAACAGGCTTCAATTGAAGATGCTGTTGTAGATCCAGCTACTGGTGAAAAGGTTAGTGCTGGTCGCAAATCATCTCTTTGAGATTCAGTCTAAAGCTTCTTAACAACACAAGTTACAGTAAGATTTTGACTTTGTATATTCTGTGTAGTGCGTGCCCCTGTATTTAAAAGAGCTTTTACGATATGTAGTCTATTTAGTGAATTTCTTAAAATTTAAACGCCCTGAGCGTCATTTTCTCATATTGAATATTTGAAGAAAACTTGACAGAATAAGGAAGAAGTGCTGATGGTGAAGGGACAAGCACCACTATTAAAGAATAGGAGAGAAATATTGCGCCGTGTACTAATTTTATTAATATATCTTTTAATGTAGGTAGAAATGGAGTGGCTTATACTTTCCCTGCCTTAACTTGCTTTATCTATACACAAAAACATAATCACGATGGGTTATGGATTTCTTTGGAGATTTTGTTGGTATTGCAGATGATGTTTCTATGATTAATTTATGTAAATGGCCAAAATACAGATAGAGAAAACAGTTTTTGTTATATTCTTTTCTGGAGAGCGCGCCAAAACAAAGATTTCCAAGATCTGCGACGCTTTTGGGGCCAATTGTTATCCTTTTCCTGAGGAGTCCAGTAGACAGGGGCATATGAAGACTGAGGTAATATATTTTCAAGTTTATTCTTGTTTACTTATTACTTAATCAAGGACTAGGATTGAAACCGAAATTCTTGTTTGGTCTAAACTACTTGTTTGCCATCACTAGTGGAAGTTGATTAGGATGTCGTGATGCTACGCTCTATCAGTCAAAGTTTGTCCTTCACTTTAATATTTTGATTTCTAGAGTTTCTTGCTTTTTAAGTCATATTTGGGACCTGGTATATAGTCTACAGTCGTGTCGTAACTCTGAATTCTGTGAAAACATTATTTTAATGTACGCTTCTTTCTGTTTTTTAAATATGTTGGTCATCGTTGAGCTTTTTTCTTGTACAGGTTGACAATAGACTACTTGACCTGCAACATACACTTGATGCTGGTATTAACCACAGAGACAATGTTCTTAACAGCATTGGAAACAATCTTGACCAATGGACTGTTATGGTAAGGCACACTGTTGACTACATTATTAACTCTACGTTGTTGATTACCTGAGCAATGCTTGATTTGAAGTTATTAATCTTGAAGACAAGGATTTTTAAGAGATATGTATGCCATGGGTTTCTTTTTATTAGTTAAGTCTTATCCCTGAAATTGACTGGTTCTTTGCTGAGCAGGTGAGACGTGAGAAGGCAGTGTACCATACACTCAATATGTTAAGCATCGATGTTACACGCAAGTGTCTAGTCGCTGAGGGCTGGTGCCCTGTCTCTGCCAAGCCCAAGGTTTTATCGTGTTCCTAAAACATCATAACTTGCGACCACACAGTAGACTTGTTTGCAGTTTTATTTTTTCTTGATGTTTTACTTGGGCATTTATATTAACTAGGTGTTTCATGTTGGTTTTGGGGGTGCAGATCCAAGATGCACTTCAAAGAGCAGCATTTGTCAGCAACTCTCAGGTTAATACGATCTTTCAAGTTCTTCACACGAAGGAATCGCCACCTAGTTATTTTGAAACCAACAAGTTCACCAATGCATTCCAAGAAATTGTGGAAGCTTATGGGTAAGTGTGCAGATCAACGATATTACGACGCGTTGAAACTGGGTTGTTGATGATCGCTGTTTTCAACTGCTAAGGGATTGTGGTAATGGTTGTTTTCCTTTCTTTCATTCAGTTCTGATCAGATGTTGTGAATATGCAGTGTGGGACGGTATCAGGAAGCAAATCCTGGATGTTTTACCATAATAACTTTCCCTTTCCTATTCGCTGTTATGTTTGGTGACTGGGGACATGGAATCTGTTTACTTCTGGGGGCTCTTTATCTTGTATTAAATGAGAAGAAACTTGGGAGCAAGGTAATTTTTGAAAGACTTTCTCTGCGCTCATGGTCATTTAAGCATCTCAAGTTGACCTTCAGTTGAGGTTTGTCTCAAGTTTTGTGGTGAAACTAAACCTGTTGGACTGCTGCAGAAACTTGGCGATATTATGGAGATGGCTTACGGAGGTCGTTACGTGATTCTTTTAATGGCTATTTTCTCTATTTACACTGGTTTTATATATAACGAATTTTTCTCCGTCCCATTTGGGTTTTTTGGAGGATCAGCGTATCGGTGCCCGGACTCACAATATTCTATTGAGAGTTGCCCGTAAGCTCCCTCTCCAGTAGTATGTTATTATTTGTGGTTGTTGAGGTTCTTTGAGAAGTCGAACACTTGTGTAAACTTGACACTTTTTTTTAGGTCTTAAATAATAGACTCGCCACAAATTTGTTGTGTGCCGAATTCGCTTATTGAATAAGTTTGGGTGTGCCTGATTTCAGGATGGCGACTACTTCTGGAATGGAGAAATGGTCATATGAGCCTTATGCGTTTGGGGTAGACCCTATTTGGCATGGATCTCGATCAGAGCTCCCATTTACCAACTCGTTAAAGATGAAGATGTCAATCCTGTTGGGCATTGCTCAGATGAACCTGGGCATTCTATTGAGCTACTTCAATGCTAGATACTTTCGCAGTGCACTTGACGTTTGGTAAACCTATTTAACCAATTTTAGAAGCATTCGTGGTGTGCAAGTTGTGCTTGTGCATTTGTCATCAAAATTTTAGTTACTATGTCATAGATGTGCCGATTGTCAAGTTTTGCATGGAGAGATGATTCTGAACATGCCATTACAAGTTTGTGTGTTCCATTTAATCAGTTCAGGTGCGGATGAAGTTAGTTACTTAATATTTATCTTTATCGAGTTAGAAAATGCTAATAGGTCCTTTCGTTTTACGAACTGAATTCAGGTACCAGTTTATTCCACAGCTGTTGTTTCTCAATGCTCTCTTCGGCTATCTATCATTTCTAATAGTTCTGAAGTGGTGCCAAGGAAGCAAGCCCGATCTGTACCATGTAATGATTTACATGTTTCTAAGTCCTACTGAAGACCTTGGTGAGAATCAGCTCTTCATGGGTCAAACTTTTGTTCAGGTACGAAAATCTTACCTCTTTCTGGGGTAAGAAATGTTCTATGTTAATCCTGCTTTTGGGTTCCAGTGAGATGTTCTTAGTCGCAGATTTGGAGGTCTCAGCCATCATTATGTCATTTTGATGGGTCCTTTTTTAATTACGGTTATTTGTTGTGCAGATTGTGCTGTTGTTAGTAGCCTTGGTTGCTGTTCCTTGGATGCTATTTCCAAAGCCTCTTATTTTGCGAAAGCGACATGTTCAGGTGCAAGTCAATTCCTTCATTGTGTGATCCTCGGCACTAATTGTTCTAGTGTAGCACTAGTCTATATCTCATTTTCAAATCGTGTTGTCTCGCACCTTGTTTGCTCTGTGTGCGCAATTGTTTTGTGCGTACGGTCTTAACTAGTAGCGTTTCAAAGTGCGTATGTGAAATGATGTTTCCAAGTCTGTATATATAGAGCAGTCAATTTGTACCTGATCTTCCCGTAATTGGTGCCTGACAAGTATTTCAGATGTCTTACACATGCCCGTATATTACATGGATATCTCTCCTGAAGAACATGTTTGTAGCATGTTGGCATTCTCTAAAATTTTGGAGTCTACAAATGTTTGATGAATTGTGTCGTTTATGAGGATGCCACAGAAGGACCTGTTTACTAAGTATCGTTGCGTTGGTTGCATTCAACAGAAAATGCAGGGAAGAGCTTACGGAATGTTGAGAGAGTCTGATACTGAATCAACTGACTTGGAAATCGATGGTGAACATGACGAAGAGGAGTTCGAATTTGGTGAAGTGCTTGTGCACCAAATGATTCACACTATTGAGTTTGTGTTGGGTGCTGTGTCCAACACTGCTTCTTATCTGCGACTGTGGGCGCTCAGGTATTTAATCTAATTGTGGCAGTTACTTCATTTGATGCAGAATGATCTTGTGTTAATAAGTTCAACATGAATATGTGTGTTTGCTGGATGCAAAGTTGTTGTGCTATATTAACCAGTAATGCAGTTCATTGATTTGTCTTTACTTGAACTTCGTCTTCGCAGTCTTGCGCACGCACAGCTTTCTGCAGTGTTTTACGACCGAGTTCTTATGTTCGCTTGGGGGTATGCCCAGTCCTGCCATTTGATTTTGAAGTTCTTATTTTCGAGTGATGGTGGTAGTGCAGGCAAACTTACAGCACTGGTACATTTATTTGATATATTAGCACTGGTCTAACTGAAAATCTATAATTATTAGAGTAGGGTTTAGGGTTCAAGACGACTGATAAAATATCTGAGACCTTTTAGAAGCTCAGGTACTAGAGTGCTCATATTGATAGATTCTGAAGGTATGATTGTTGCATTTGGCAGGTATACAAATCCGATAATCAGACTTATTGGTCTGATTGTGTTTGCATCTGTAACCTTCGGTGTGCTGCTGCTTATGGAGACATTAAGTGCCTTCCTTCATGCACTGCGTCTTCACTGGGTGGAGTTTCAGAACAAGTTCTATCTAGGGGACGGCTACAAGTTTCAACCATTTTCTTTCAGGACTCTCTCAGAGGAGGATGACCTGTAGTTTTCATCCTATCCAGATGATCAGAACTGATAATTTCCAATTATGTTTACTACCAATTGTATCTATTGATTCATAACAACTCGCATTGTTGAGGTTCTTCAAATTGTACACCCGTTTGTGCTTTCGTTTGTATAGGATGAAATTGTAGACATTTAAATAGATAGGTACTGTGTAACCGTAGTTGTAATTGGTTAGGGAACCGGGAAAGGAATTTTTGTTTTTCAAAATTGAGGTTCAGTTGTAGTATTTACTAATATGAAAGATGTGATAGAAATGAATGTACTAATGTACTGAGTTAATAAAAAATTAGTTTGTAAGTATGCTGTGCGAGAATGGAACGAAATTCATGAAGAGAAATTTATGTAACAGAATTGCATAATATTTGAACAGGTAGATAATTGTCAAATGAGGGACAATTCCATATTATGAACTAACGTAGAAAAAAGCGTTTCTGAGTAGATAAATGGCGGCACTTCACCGAAATTGGTACTTTTGTGTTGTATAGATAAAGCGATTACAATCTCTTCAAGGTGACTGAACAACGTGCACAATCCCGATTCTTTGAACACGTCCGTTGTTAATACCTTACATTAGTTACAAACATCACTGGTCTCGATGCGCCGAAGGTAGTTGGCCACTTCAACCTAGTACTAATCAATTCACAAGGGTTTGTGGGCAACGAAAAGCCCCCACTTTTGTTCATCATTTGCACAACGCTCTAGCTTGCTTTTCCATCCATTGACTATGTAATTGTAATCGTCCTGCATTTATGCCGATCACGAACATATGAGATTTTTCACATGAATCATTTGATAAAGATAGCGTTTCGACACATATGCTTCTTATTGACAGAAACTGATGACCATACCTTCCCCTTGCATGTCAGGAAATTCTGTCCGTCCACTCCAATCTCTCTGACTAATGATATTGACAATGCATTAACATTGGGAAACAACATTGAACCTCTGAGAACTCCTCGATGAACTTGTCACGCTCTTGCTCAGTTGCAGATAGCTCTCTCTTTAGGACTTCCACGAACTGCAGCACCACAATCGCATGAGTAATGTGTGGCACAGTGGACACTAAGAAACAAGTTGAAATCGAGTTGAAATCAAGTTGAATGCACCATGCCAAGTTTAACTTTCGACTGCCTTTACCTGGTCTGTCCCGTCCTCAGCATGCACTTTTATGAATCCGGAACGCTGCAGCATCTGCATACAAACAGCAGCCTCTTTGGTGAATATATATATATATATATATATATATATATACATAAATACATTTGTGCGATTTTTCGTATCCCAATTCATGTGGTGAAAATATATTATCTCAGGAAATAAAAGTATCGTGTCAGTACCCTTGGATTGGTTAAGCTCTATTTTACCTGACCGTATGTCTGGACGCTGTGAAGGTCGTAGTTTCTCTGTTTGATGTATGATGCAAACTGCTCCGATGGAGTACCTGGAGCTCTGCAGTAGTCACTGATAAAAACTCGACCGCCAGGTTTCAGTCATTTGAAAAAGCGGTCGAATAATGCCGGTTTGTCCTGTCAGTCATAAATTCGCAGTATGAATATATTGAACCATTGACACAGCTCTTTCCCCAACATTGATCCATCAATGCAACCTGGTCGCTCTCAGACTCAGATTCTCATATTGGACCCATAAGGAAAAGAGAAAGAGTTCCATATCTAGATAACAAGCGATGCATGAAACTATTTCTGATTCAAAAAATGAGATTCCAACTTCGGGGTAGACATGGTGGGCAGTGGCTCACCTGGATGTGCAAAATGGTGTCTCGGCTGTAGATGACATCGAATGAAGCTTCAGGGTAGTTAATCTTAGTGCAATCTCCCACTTCAAACTCGATGGCGCATTTTCTGCCGATGGATCGCTCTAGGGCGAAGGATATCATATTTACAGACAGGTCAATGCCAACAACCTCTGCATCGTATTCCTCCGACATGTAGAAATCGCTACCACCGATTCCGCATCCCACCAGGACACGCTGTCCCGGCTTCAGGTCCAACATATTTGCAAACTCCTTAGTTGTCTCTGAAATGTGGTATCACACAAACATGATAAGTACCCATGATTTTGGGCCGAGGACACTGATGGATTAGATAGTATTCAAGCAGAGAAATTACTTGACTAATATGTAGGAACCCATCGACTGTGGCAGAGATCATACCAATGCCACCAGTGCTCATAAACCCTTCTTAGAAAATGCGCTCATAACGCATGATTTCAGTAGCTGTGTACTGTTGGGTGTCTAAAAACTGTTGGAAGCTCTTTACCTCAGGCCCTAGCGATGGTACTTTCTTCCACAACCAGCATACCTGCGGTGAAGCAACATTCGTTGGAATCAACGTCACAACCTCGCGAAGTTGATAGGGGCAAGTTGATAAAAAGTCTTTCTACATGATTGGATACCTCCGCTTTGCGGCGTGGTTGGCTTCAGCCCTACCTGATTCTGATTCTTATTGCGCACGTAAGTGCCAACACATTTGCGTTCCACCAACTCGAACTCGTAATAGGAACCATCTTCTTCTTGAATGTGTGTCTGCTCGAAGAGCTGCAATTTCACCGCAGATCGGATTTACTCTTCAGTAAAAATTATAATTTCCTAAACGATAGGGAAGAACAGGATGTGAGAGCGTACATAAAAAATTTAAAAAAAAAAAAAAAAAAAGAAGAAGAAGAAAACGGTAATGCATATCTCGTACCTGGGTGTAGTAACTGGGCTGACGGTAGTGAGTAGGATTGTTCTTCCACTTGTTATCGCAAGAATGATGAAAGCATGATTCTCGGAAGAAAATGAATCCACCAGGCCTGAGCCACTCTATGATACGTGACGTCAATCCTTCAACCTCTTCGTCAGATAAGGACATGAGAAGCCAATTAGAGAACACCAGGTCCGCAGAAGCAGAGCTGATATCCAGTTGTGGAGAAGTTACATCCGCGCATTTGAAATCGATGTTGTTCATGTGTCCGTGTACGTCTTCGTTCTGCCATCAAGGCACCCAACTCGTTAGATTTCTGTAACGTAACAACAAACATTGATAAAGAAGTCTGCCTCCAAACGAGCCTTGTCCAGAATGCAACCACCGAGTTTAAGCAAATGTACGCCGAGTTTCTGCCTTACAACACTACCTTCTTAATGAGATTTTCCATGAAGTCCATGGCTAGCACATGGCCAGCAGACTTTGCGAGATCCCCAGTGAAACGGCCAATACCTGCTCCTAGCTCAATGACATCCTTGCCCTTGTATGGTGGCAACAGCGAAAGAATCTGCGAGGGAAATGAACATCAGTTGCAAACCCTGAATTCAACGTTGCTTCACGTGGAGAAAGAGTCACGGAATCAAGAGTTTGCACTGTAGACTTGGATCATATCAAGATCCTGAAAGGGTATTGTACTCATGCAAATTTGAGGTGAGCTGTGGTACTGGATATGCGTGGAGACATTGTATTACAATAGAAAACCAAATGCAAATAAATTCATGATGGTGCAAGTTGTGGCATTGTGCGGGTCTACACACCTCAGGCCGCTCTTCCAGATCAAGCTTGGGGGCCTGAGAGTCGAGCATCATGGTCTCCACGCTGGGGTTCACAGAGTGCTCCTTCCAGTAGTTGGACTGAAGAGTGCGTTCGGCTGGAACCAACACAAACGTCGGGAGCACAGAATTAGGCAACTACAAGTCTAAGAAGCCTAATTAAGGAACTTGAAAGGAGCAGATCATTCATTCAGAAAGTAAAATGGGTCCAAACACAGCTATCATCGTGTTCCCAACACAACAATTGTCGTATGGAGTTCGGGGAGGACCCCTAGTCGAGAGTAAACGGCGGATCTAAAACAAAACACTGTGAAGGAAAAATAAGTTGCAGAACAACGACAGCTATGGTTCAAAGAGGCCCACCCGTAGATCAGCACCACATGCAGGATATATCAGCAAGTTACAATTCTCCTAAACAACGTCACGAAGGAAAAACATCCTCCCAGCTCTACAACAACGCACCAAAACCGACAGAAACATGTCTATGACCGCGGGGCTTACTGCAGGCAGCCATGATGGGCTCAGATTGTAGCAAGAGCTCAGGAACACCAATAAGCAAATCCACAAAGGCTCAGTTTCTCCCCTCCTGATCAACTTCTCGCTACCCCACCACAGCAACAACACTCCACCGCCCGAAGACCCACCTCTCGAAGCGGTCACGCCGCTAACGCACACACAATGCGATAGCTACAGGAGGTCCGGAAGCTACAAATTGTTGCAGAGCAGGATTCAGCGATGGGATGGCATTGGGTCTGCGCGGGGGGGCTGAGACTGCAGCAAGAGGCTCTCTCTCCTCAGGACTGACTGCGTAACGATAGCTCGCGATCACTCAATCCAAATATCCCATCGCGAGAGTCACGGTCAACGGACCTAGTAGAGACGCGACAAAATTCTTAGTATCTTGTCTAATTGCCATGTGGGCTACGACTTGCGCCTTCACAGACGCTTCCTTCTGTTTTGTCGTTTTTCACATGTGCCTCACACTCTGTTTTGATTTCATTTGTCAGCTAAAGGAAGAATATTCATCCTGCCTGAAAGATTTCTTCTTAATAATCTTAGACACATTTGACCCCTTCCTTTGAATTTGGATGAATGTACGTGGATGAATTTTCGAGTGGTAATAATAATCAAAGGGGGTCGTTAGTGTGTGCTGAGAATGTTTGTGTGTGTGCTTTTCGTTCAAGCCCTTCATTTCTATTCTTGATTAGATATTTTTTATACTTTTGTGAAAGCTTGTTTTGTCTGGGTGTTGGTTTTTTGGGAAAATGAATTTCGGAATAGTAGTGTATGAATCTTTGAAATTTTTAGTACCCTGTAAAAAAAAATCCAAGTATTTAAAATGGTCAATATCTATTGAAATCTAAAAATATCATTTTTTTTTGGAGAGAGGAACTCAAAAGATCTAGGATGATGATAATCAGAATTTTTACAATTGTGATTAATTATTTTTTTAGTTAATTAAGCATAGGTAATCAAATTCATAATCACTATTATATTTTTCATGACTTGATCACTAATAGTAAGAGACATCAGAAAGAAAGAATGAACTAAAAGATTTTTTTTATATTTAAGAATGCTACAAAAGGTTAATTTTACGTGTGAATTTCTTTTAAAAGTTTATTTATCCAAAAATAACTATTTTATTTATACAAAACAAACTATTTTATTTGTATATCTAAGTACATGCATATGTATGTAACTACATAGAACAAAATATAGTTAGCATCCATTCAATCTTCATCTATTGATGTTCTTTGTTCGACATTCAAAAGTTTTTTTAAAGATTTGGATGTAGTTATTGCGAGGGCAGTAAAAGTTGCTCTATTATACAAGTCTAGTAATAGCCATGTGTTCTATTTATATACAACCCGAATTTTGTCTGTTCGTCCAGACAGTGATTCTTCTTTGGAAAATATATATATATATATATATGTGTGTGTGTGTGTGTGTGTGTGTCACGTTTACAAGTCTGCTCGTTTATATGAAGATAGTTTTTCAATATATATGTGTTTCACGTTTACACGGCTGCAATTGGTGAGCTGGATGTTGAAGTAAAAAGCACTCAGTGAGTAAGTTTTTCAGCTTAACTAAGCAACACGATGTGGCCTATCGATGACATGGGCAGCGTCGAATAAGAGAAATGAAGCAACACAGAATCCAAAGGTCGTTTCCATAAGGCAGAATCTGCAGGAGAAATTACAGCATTGTCTTCTTTCCTGATATTGAAGCATTTCCACTCCTGCACCACAGGCCTTCGCGCCGGGTTGGTTTAAGCAGAAGATGGATTGAACTTTCTGCTGCGCAGTCTTCTAGACGCCATCTGCAATCGCACTGAATTTCTCTATCTCCTATCCTACATACCAAGTTCGATGCTCTTTGAACAAATTTGCCTTCATAGAATTCTCGGAAAGCGTTACAGCAGGGTGATACACCACGAACCAAAGCGTCCCAGACCAAGAGATCTGTTATGAAGATACATATGAGCAACGAAGATGGAACTACTCAAGAAGCTAACGGTTTATGTAATCCACTCCCAGACAGGCAAGTTCAGTTTGAAACAGCATTGCCCAGTCCAGTAAATGATTTTCATCGACAATGAGCAGTCAGATAGCTTACAACATACTCGAGATTCAGAACCTGATACGAACTCACAAGGAACCTACTGGTTAGAATGAAAACCAATGAGATCATGTATAATTTGCATGTTAATATGCATATGGTTATATACATTGTGGGCATCTACGAAATCTGGCTTATGAAACCTAAAAGAATTCATCTGATTCAGCAGAGGGCCATTCTTCTAAATTGCCATAATTAAGATGCCTGGTATTCCTCCTGCCACCTCTCTCTGCCTTTCGACGAGGTCTGTCTCTATCGCCAACATATGATGCATCATTACTTATTCTTTTCCTGGTCTTGTATTTTTCTCCTTCCAACAGGTTTGATTGAAGTTGAGATCTCTCTAATTGTTCAATTCGGGTAGCTAAGCTGTGAATAACATCGTTCTGCTGTTTACCCCAATGCAACACTTTTCCGACAACATCCTTGAGTTTTCGGTTTTCCTCCAACAGCTGTAGCAACAGCTCACGTTCTGACAAGGGGGTACCATCGTCAGCAGTTGAGACCTGTGGCTGTCCTACTTCCGAATTCTCGACACATTGTGTTTCTAGGGACATGGATTGATTGATGAGCGGAATCAATTTCCACTCATCACCTGGAGCCGAAGATCCTGTAACACCCTCTCCTTTCAGGGATTCACAGTCCTCGGGATTAGCCTCATGAATAGCATTTTCCGTTTCATTCGGTGATAGGTTTTCTGCTTCACCTGGCAGCTTCTCCGCTTCTTTATCTGCATCCACGTCGTCAACCGGATCCAACAGCTTCCCATCATCATTGTGATTAGCAGGAGCGACTAAAGAACCCTTCGACATTGGTTCCAGGGTAATGCCACTTGAAGGCGACGTTGTGACAGTGTCATCCACTGAAGAAGGCTCTTGATGTACACGTTCAATATTCGTGTATGGTACAGATTGGGAGGAATTGAACATCGTTTCAAGCTCATCTTTCATGGCGGGGGCAAGAGAATCCATTGCTAATGTTTGCGCTGAGGTTTGTGCCTCCTCTACAGCCATTGGAACCTCAACATCAGCCTCAATAGAGCTTGGTCTCAAAACAGATTTCACTCCTTCAATGATGCTCTCTCCAGCAAGGGATTCTCTCTGATCATTAGCATTCTTAATAACTGAATTGTCAATTTTATTAGAATCGTCCGAATGTACCTGGTGTACATGCTTCCCAGGAGTTCGATGCTCAGTGACGTTGATCCTGTTGGCTTCATTTTCAACCTCTTCACTCGCTTCATGAGGTTCGATATTTTGCATCACTGATTGTTGGGGTTCAAAGGTGACCGTACCGCTTGCTTCATTTCGAACACCAGTTAATCCATCAGAAATTCTTCCCTCGACTTCCATTTTCTCTTCACCTTCTGCATTAGTAGAATCTGTGAGACCATCAATTGCCATTTCTTTCACCGTATCAGAAGTGTCGGGCTTCTCCGAAATGCCATCATCTTGTTTACCTTCCGCCTCTCCAGATACAGTCATCGAATCGATTATCTCTTGGAAGCCCAGCAACTCCTTCGTCAACCCCTTGCGTATGAATCGGACTTCTGGATGCACGCCTTGTAGTGAATCCAAACGCAGCAACATCAACATAATACCCTCTGTCCACCTCAGTCTTTCCTGGGGGTCACTACACAGCTTCTTCCTCTGTTCTTCCTCTTTGGACTTCCGCTTAAGACTCTCGAGCTCTTCCCTGACCTTCTTAATTTCCCTCAGGTGTTTGAGAGGCTGAGTCTTGCGCACAGAATAACCACGATACGCGGCCTGAATCTTCTTGGCGGCAGTATCCTCACTCTTAAATCTCGACACCACCCGCCTCGCCTGTGGGGCAGCAGTTCGCTTAACCTCTGCTTGCGGAGCTTTCTGCGACACAGCTACAGGAACATTTCCATCTGAAACGGGGATTGTCCGAGCTGCCTTTCTACTCATAGGCTCTTCAACCACAGGAGCAAAATTGTACTCCGGTGCCATCGAAGGACCGTACTGATTATAAACGGGAGCTCGTGGGCGATTGTACCGCGGTCTCGGCTGAACCCGAGGATACCTATACGCACCGCTGTAAGGATCCCACATGTTATCGAAAAATCCTCCTCTCATCATCCTCGCGTAAATAATACTTCACACTTCCTTGTCCCTCACTCAAACTGATGACCACAACCCCAGATCAGCAGTAAATCGAGCTTAAGTCAGCACGAGAACAAATTCACAGGGCCCCCCTAGCTTTCGACTACAACAATTTCTAAACAAACCGCAACCCCGAAGTGCGTTTAGTAACAAAAAAACCTGCAATGTGTTCAAAAATCTCAGCAAGAAGTATAGATACAGATCGATTTTGTGGAGGGAAGCAGAATTATATAAACGAAAATTGAAAGCTGCGTGGTTGTCGTCCGAGCTCTCCAGAACATGGTTGTTGCTTCGGTTGCATTCTAGAAGGTGCTGCTTTGCTCTAGAATTCGACACTTCAAACTTCCATTGCTGATGTGGCGGGAAGCTTATACCCGGATCGGGGGGTGGCTCAACCCGGGCATTCTTTTTCATCCGAATGTGCATCTCCGATGAATGACAAATAGTATACTAGTATAGGGGTCATCGTATTCGTATTTTGTATTCAGTCCTGTAGTTCAGACCTCTTTTGCTGTTTTCTCACAATTGAGTAGCTTCCGCACAAATTCCAATTGGAATGTCAACCGCAGTGACTCTGCTGCGTCTGGATCCTTCTTTGAATAAATTTAGTGCTGGATTTCACCTCTTTTGTTGAGAATTTTTGGTAAGGTTTTACTGAACCAAAGAATTGTGTGACAGGTCATTCTGGTGTTTGCTTGGTTGCAATTTGTCGCACAAATTTTTAGTTCAATATCCTGCTAAGTCAATCTAAGTCAGCTAGCTTTCAGACTTGAAACAGGTGTAATGCTGTTGTATTTAGTAACATTCTGGCTCTGTTTGTATGATTCTTTTAATGGCTACTTGGGTAGTATTGTGTCTTTTGGCTCGCTCAGGCTCATCGCGGGATCTCTTGCCGATGAAAAAAAAATACTAAGGTGAATATTTCTAGCGACTTCCGTTGTAGGTGAGGTGATTGTGATTGTCTCATGTTTCAGGTGCCTCCAGTCTCGAAAGCGAGCGTGTCATGTTTGTATGTATTTCTGTGGCTTAAATGATTTCGTACCAAGTGTCACCGCTGCCCATCCGAAATCAGTCTTTTTGTATTCAGCCGACATTGTTGTTGTAATCTATCCTCGTGGAACCGTTTTCCAGCTCCAACCGAACGGACAAAGCATTACTGATCTTTAGTCTCATCCATCGCAAGCTGCCCACACCCCCGACACCTCGCAATCGTGAAGCCTTAGCCTGCTTGGCCTTGAGATTGCACGTTTTTGCAGCGATTTCTGTAGGTTTGAACCAGATTTTATTTTTGCGGGATTTCGAGGATTTCTGACTCTGTAGCTGGGCTCTGAGGTTTAGGGTTTAGGTTTATGATTTCGTCAACTTCTTCTGACAGTGGGTTGATTTAAAATCTTAGTGGGCCATTTTTGATATTTCTCCATTTATTGGAGATGTTTTAGAACACATTTAAGGGGACTGCCAGAGCAAGTGTTTGATGTCGTCATCAAGCATTTCAGCTTGGGCTAATTGCATCCCTTGTACTCTTATGGGTATCCTTGAACTGTGGTACATGCCATTGTTCTTATCTATTTCTTAGTCTATTTTTTGGATTAAAGATATTTAAAGTCTGTATGAGTTATATATTGCAGCTATTTCATTTGCGTCATTTTATTGTTCCATCTTTTATCCACTTGTATGTAAAAAATCAAGGTCTAGGTTAAGAAAAGGATTGGTACTTTTACATCTTGATTTGAGATGTGATCCATGCTTTACAAACTTTAATAAGATAGTAAGAAGTGAAAAGATGTTATAAAATGGATCATTATTCATTTATTTATTCATTTATTTTAATTCTGAGCATGCAAACTCATACCATGATTCTAACAATTATAACAAATACAAAAAATTTATTTTATTTATTTATTTATTTTATTTTATTTCATTAAATTTTGATATCCTTCGTAAATTTTTGTAAAACCAACCATTTAAGGTTGGCATATAAAATATTTAAAACAACACTATTCATACTATATATGATAAGAATGTATTCTACATCATATCTTCTTTATTAAACCTTTCAATTGATTTTTAAAGTAACATCAGCTAAATGAAACTTATTAATTTCAACAAATCAAAAAATTAAAAAATTATAATACCATTTTGTTTTTTCTATGTACAAAGATCTTTGAAGAACATCCTTTTATAAAGTTCATTAACCTAATTATTTTTTAGATATCTAAAATAAAAGAGCAATAAATATGCTATTTAAATTAAAAGATATAAGACTATTATAAATTATATTTCGATACAAAACTGATAGATGATTAGTTTACCAAGTTTTAAAGACATAAATCTAAACAAATTTTTTGAAAGACAATTCATACATATATTACTAAAGAAAAAATAAGAAAAAAATAAAAATAGATATAAGATAAAACCAAATTAGAATAGATGTTGCCAATATAAAGAATCAAGGACTTGAATTAAGAACAAAATGCAAGAAAGTCATTGACAAGAATAAAAGCAATCTTGTTTTTAATTCCAAGGCCTTAAAAATCAAGAGATTTGTGACTCAAATATTAAGTTGTAGTTTCTTTCTAATATGACTTTTTAAAAATAGGATATTAATAGGATAAATTTTAATAGTTACATAAAAAACTATAGAAATGTAAAGATCTAATTTGTACCCAAATAATTTTTTTAAAGTTTTTTAAAGAAGATATTATCAACTTAACAAGCTCTAACAACTTCTATTTATTTCTATTACTTCTAATTACTTAAGTAACATAAACATCTATCATATTAGTTTTTTCTTCTTCATTTTTTTTTCTCTCTTTCTTCTCCTCTTTCTCCATCTCCCTCCCTTCTTTCCTTCTATAGATAAGTTTTATAAAAAGCGACTAAGTTATTTCAAAGGTTGAAGAAGTCTAAGATTTATCAAATGGTGTTAGAAACAAATTCTTATCTATGTTCTATATAAAGGTAATTGATTGGTTTTCTAAGCCATTAGTATTATTCTATATCAAGGCAAGTTCATCTCATTTTTTGATTATTATTGAGGCCTTCATAACTACCTTCAAACAACACAGTTTATATGCTATTAAGTATAGTATCTACTTCTAGAAGTATCAGTGGTCATTGAAAGACTTTTCTAAGATCATGATATTATATACATTAAATGTTTCCATATTTTCCAAGAAGCATTAAATCTAAAATATTTTCTACTTCAAAGTCTTTTTTAGTGCACATATTTTATTACCAATCTTATTTCTATATATACTAGCTATAAAAGTCAAGATGAATCTTCTTAAAGATAGCAAAACTTAAGAACTATGAATCAAGTTGTAGGTTGCTTCAAACACAATTTTATAAAAATAAAAAACCTACATGATAAGTTTTAATTATAATATATTCAAGAAACTTGAATGTAAGAAGACCAATTTCTTTATGATGGTTGGAAATAAGATGGTTCAAGTAATTATCACTTTATCTTTGAATTTCTTTTTAGTGCACATTTTTTTTGTTTGCAATAGAATGATAGATAGAAGTGTGGATGGAGTGATGTTGAAGAAGATCAATGGTAGTGGATATTAGAAGAGAGAAAAAATATATGAAGATTATATTGGAAGAGCTTGCCCCATCATTAGAAAGTATGGTGCAAATTGACATAATCATGTACAATTTATTTGATAAACTTAGAACATATGTTATATGATTTTAAGTCATTTTTATGTATAATGTATTTGTAAGATTATCTAAATATGATATTTTTCAACTATGAAATACATATATTTTTATATAAATTACATATTCTATTTTCATAGTATAAATAAGTCTATAATTTTTTTTCTTTTTACATATTATATAAAAGATTATTTAAAAAATTTACAAATCTTATATCTCCTAAGCTATAGAATTTTTAAAGATATCAAATATAAAATTAGAATTAAAACCATCAAAAATAAAGAAGTAAGTCAATTCAAAAGTAAAATATAAAATAAATTAATAGAAAAAAATACCAAGCAAAAGATCCTATATTTAAAAAATGAAAAACTTGTTGAGCATTCTAAGTCTACCATTAGATTTGTAGAATTCCAAAATAAAAAGATAGATTAAATTAAAACTTACAAAATTGTATCCATTTATAAAGTCAACTTAAAATTTAAAATAGCCAAACTCTCAACATCTATAAAATTATATATTATTAAAATAATTCAATGCTATATTTAAAATATACAATTTCTAAATGAACCTGATAGTGTTTTCAAAAATTTCTAAAATTCTTATTAAATCAAAATCAGAATCCTAAAGTTGAAGTCAAAGTTGATGTATCTTTCAAATTAAGAACTTATAGAGTAATTTATTTATATTATTAGAATTATAGATCATAAAACTAAAGAGAGGGATGATATTTCAAGTCAAAATCAAAAAATAAGAAGATAAAAAAAATCAATGACATCCATATGACCTCAAATCTTAAATTCTAAAAAATTTAAAACTTAAATTCTAAAGTCTGAATATTTGTACAATTATGTTACATTTAATTCCAAATCTAAACTTGGTCTTTATAATATATCATAATATATTTAAAAAAGCTAGAAAAATAAATTTATGAAAGAAATTTGTATGCACCTTCTATTTATAATATATATGCATTAATTTTCATTAGACAAAAAATATAGTAAAGTAGCAATTGTGCAGTGTGTCATCTTTAATAATTACGAGACTGAAAAATTTTCAAATCACATTAGTAAGCTTTGATATAAGAAGGCAATTTTTTTAAGTTGATTGGAAGTAAGATAATTCAAATAATTATCACCTTATCTTTAATTATTTTTACAATGTATATTGGCTTTTTTGCAATAAGGTAGTAGATAAAAATATAGATCAATGATGATGGATATTGAAAGAATAGTATATGAAGATATTGAAAAAGATCAATGATGATGGATATTGAAAGAATAGTATATGAAGATATTGAAAAAGATCAATGATGATGGATATTGAAAGAATAGTTTATGAAGATTATTTTAAAGAAGCTCATTAAATTATTAGAAAACATGCAATAAATTAGTATAACCATATATAATCTATTGTATAGACATATAAGATAAGTTATATGTTTTTAAGTCATTTAGTTATATATCATATTTAAAAAGTAGTCTAAATATAAAATTTTGTAACTATAAAGTAAATATATAATTATATGATACCTAATTTATTGTCATAGTATAAATAAGTTTAAATTCAAAATAGTCAAACTTGTACTATCTAAAAATATATA